GGCTACACTTAGAGACAGACAACCAAGCACACTCACATTCACACCTACGGACAATTTAGAACCACCAATTAACTTCAACATGTTTTTGGACTGTGTGGGAGGAAGCTGGAGAACCCAGAGAGAACCCCTGCTGCACGGGGAGAACATGCAAACGCAGAAAATCCTCGGCCCAGACCGGGATGCGAACCAGGGATCCTCTAGCTGTGAGGCGACGGTGCTAACCGCTGATCCACCTTGCAGCGCGCATACAAAATATTCAACATAAAATGAATGAGCCTACAGTTTTGTGCTAGTCATGAGCATAGCAAGTCAGGAACCTCAGAGTCGGACTCATTGGTTTATTTGTAAAGCACATTTCAACTGAAAAAGCTTTACATATGTGATGTGAATAAGGATAACATTTGAAAACACAATGGAGAGGAAAAAAACATGATTAAAGTAAAATACAATACAATAAATAAAACCAGAAAATTATACAGTTTTTAAAAAAAAAAAGTCTTTTGTACAGTGATAATGCCTTAATAAAGAAAGGAAATAAAATGTAGCAGATTTTTTTTTTTAAATAAAGACACAAAGAATAGAAGACTATATTGTAGATTTGAGAGTTTGATGAGTCCGTGTACAGATCTGTGGTGGAGAAAGTGTTCAGATCCTTTACTGAACTAAAAGTAATATACTACAATGTAAAAGAAACTTTTGTGTAGCCCTGCACTGAAATTGTTTCTCAAGTAAAAGTATACAAGTATTAATAAAAGTAGTCATGAAGAGACCTGCTATTGAATTAGTGGAATTTTATTTTTATTTGTTAAGAAGCTAGAGACATGCTGCAGGAACAGGTACAACAGTTTCCCCTTGTAGTGAAGCAGAAGTATAAAGTATAAAGAAGTATAAAGACTCAAGTAGCAGCAATAACAATACATGTAGTAACAGTAATAGCTGTAACAGAAGTACTAGCAGTAGTAGTAGTAATAATAATAGTAGAAGTAGTAGCAGTAGCCGAAGTGGTATTATCAGTAGTACTAATAGTATCAGTAATACTAGTCATGAGTAATAGTTGTGACAGTAGCAGTAGTATTAGCAGTATTAGTGGCAGAATATGTAGAACTGCTCTCGCAGACTAAAGCAAAGACGGAAGTGGGTGGAAGAAGCCTCTCTCTGTCGGTGTTCTCGGTGCCGCTCGCTGTCTCTTTAAAAGCACTCGTTATGTTCCGGAAACACTCGGCACTACTCGTCATCGATCTCTTTCACTGCGGCTCCATCGCCGAGCGGACTGGCCCGCTGCTCTCATCCGAGACCTCAGCGCAGACTGTCGGATCTGTGAATTCACCAACGGCGGCTCCGTGAAGCCTTGAGCTCGTGTCCAAATGCAGGCGATCAAGTGTGTGGTGGTGGGCGACGGGTAAGTGCACGAGCCGGGGCGGCAGCACGTTTCTCCCGGGTGGTTCAGTGATGCGTCCACGGCTGGATGGATGATGGGAGGATGCTATGTAGGAAAAGGGGCTGGGGCTCACTGCTCTGTCGGTCGCTCCGATTTTCTGCCCCCTGATGCTCTATAGATGAGCACAGGATTTTGCTCTGTGGTTGCATTTTAGCATCGTGTCGTTCGGTTCCGTGTGGCGGTGGGAGCGTAGCGCCTCGGGATGCTATGCGGGAACACCTACACGCCTCGTAGGCCACTGGAGGCAGGCTGAAGTGCTGATGCACGCTAAGGAATTTATGGCCCTGTCAGTGGCAAGCAGGCCCCGCTGCCCTAATTCTGCTCACAGTGTGCCTTTTCATACTGCATCCACCTCTCACCCAGCTGCATGTGGACCGAAGTCTGCAGGGGCAATCTGCGGTTTTATAACCGCTAATATCACTGCTAGTTGCTGATCAAGGCCGTGGAAAATACAGAGGCTCTGATAGGATATGAATGTCAAAACCCAGAGAAAGGCCAAATCACATTTTAAAGTCATAATGCTAAAATGAAATGATTCTCATTAGAATGCAGTTTTTCAGATATTTCAGACTTCTGTTTTCCCAGAAGAATTCTGATATTAATCTCAGGAATCTAAAAAGTTTGTCTCCCTGATTCCCCGCTGCCATAAAGTAGATTGTACTGCATATGACAGATGATGTGTGCAGGAAAAGACTGCTGAGGAGGCTCGAATGTCACATATCACTGAAAAGAGCAGTAAAAATAGTGTGGGTGAAAAAAAAAGAGAGAGCGGTCCACCAGTTTTGCACAGCCTGCACAGTGAACTCTGCTTGGGGAGTTCTGCTTGGCAGCCTCTGGAGGGAGCCTTCTTAAATGTGAAGAAGGAACCCTGATGATGTCATTGGGGTTATGGGGAGGCTGGTGTTATGAAAGACATGACTGCTTACCAGGTGGGTGGGATATGAAGATGTGTTCTTGATTTGCTTTACTGGCACAAATGAGTGTTTTTTCTTGTTAGTTTTGATTTTCAAGTATTGCATAGATTGCACAGATGCATGATGCACTGAGTGGGCCTGCTCTGTGTTTGCCATGTTCAGAGGGGATGTGAAGGAGAGTTTCACCTGATGTTGTTCAGATTATTTGATCCCTGCTGGGAAAACTATGTTTTTAATCTCCTAACAGCCAACAAGCCTTTTTAATGGAGGCTATTCTGACATGTGACAGCAGGAAAAGCACAGGTGTTTGTACTGTGATAACCTGAATGCTGGCTGAATTACATTTAGCTGCTTCACTACCTGTGCTGGTTTGCCAACAGACTGTCCTGACTTACAGGTACACTTGAACAGAACAAAACTGCTGTTATTTTTATTCGTAACACCTGTGCTTCCTGCTATAATAAGTCACAATGTCAAACTGTAAAAAGGCCAGTGCACCAGGCCTGCACAGACAGTAGCTGCACCTGGCGAGTACACTAAACCTGAATGTGGACACTATCTGTGTATTTGTGTAGCAGTGCAGAATCACAGTTTGTTTGCATAATTTCTTCCTCATTTTACTCTATACATGCATATGTTGGATCGATAAAACATCAAGATATGTACACATTTTCACCCAAGTTTAAAAAAAAAAAAACTTTGACCACATGACAACCATGTACATTTCATTATTTAGTTTGTTTCAACCAGAGCAAATTTGCATTTCACATACATTTTTGATTAATACACTGTATATCAATATATACAGCAGCAGAGCTGGAAGTGGCTGGAGTCATTTTTTAGTGTTAGGTGGAGGACGTCAGGTTTTGGGTATACATGAAATTCTTGTGTTTGAATTGTCAGCATAAAAGACAACGTAAGAAATATTTTGCTCTTTGATTTTTACAAAAAAAAAGTGATTGGAACAAGCCTGTGAACTAGTAAATGTGTAGGGGGACAAGTTCCGCCAAACTTTAAACATGTGTTTTATGGAGCGTAAACTTCCTTTTCGAGGTGTTGTTTTGTGTATTGTACATTTTGAGAGCAGCTATGATTTGTGCATTCTCCAATGTAGAAGCAACCAGGATTTGGGGTATTATAGTATTTTTTAGCTAACTGTCAGTGCAAACCATTGACACAACAAGATATTTCTCAAAAATGGCAATAATAGTTATTATTTATACTGATTGCTGTATCATAAACCTATGCTATTGTTACATCATTAGCCTTCAGTGTTTCTACATAGAGGTGTATTCAGGAGATCATTAAGAGAGACAGGAATGTGCAACTTTATGTTCAGTCTGAAGCCGCTTTAAAGGACATATGTGTACATAGTGTCTCTGAATGTTGACCCAACAAAGAGACTCAAAGTCAGGATATCTTAGCATCTGTTGCACTCTTCCCCTCGGCTTAATAAAAGTGTAATGCTAAAACATCTGACAGGAGAGGACATTACCACAGAGGTCTTTTTTGTCCTGTGACATGAAAAGATGAATCACAGCTGCTAGTATCAGTACTTTGAACTCCCTGTATTGTTGGTGTTTTTTTGTCCTCTTTTCCATCTGTCCTGCTCTTCATCCCAACCAGAGACACTCACTGACCTCAAATCAGTCTCATGGCACTTTCACACGTATTTGTGCTCTGTGTCACCTCCATTTGCTGCGTCTATGGAGACGTGCACACAAGTTGTTCATTATTTCTTGCATGAGAACACAGCCAATATCCATCCATGCCAACACCAATCTGTGTACCATCCTGCGGCTTGTGCCAGTACAGTGTAGGAGGGCAGGGGAGGGGTGTTATGAGTACTGTATGCGAGCATAATAGAGGTAGGTTGTGCCTGTGCATGCGAGTTAGAAAATATGTGTGTGTGTGTGTGTGTGTGTGTAGGAGGGGGGTGTATCATAGGAGGCTACTGTCCGTAGGCAACATGAATGTAGGCCAGTGTCTGTGTTGAACTCAGTGAAAGGGAATAGCAGCCTGCTGCATTTACACTCACACATACAGTCATGTGTTCACTCATACATTAGTCCACATACATTCAGGTTTTGTACATATGAATGTAGGATTCTAAATTTGTACTCTTGTATCATCTGTTGTCCCTTTTCCTCAGGGCTGTGGGTAAAACCTGTCTGCTGATTAGCTACACCACCAATGCCTTCCCTGGTGAATACATCCCCACTGTGTGAGTAAAGCACACACTGAATTGTGTTCTCACATTAGGACTGTACCATGATTTAGGGTTAAGTGCTTTGGAAATATACAGGACTGTGTAAAGGTTTTGTGACCCAAGGGATCCTCTTTGTACAACCTACACAGGAGTCCATACTCGTTTCTTTTCATGTTTTTTTTTTTCCTGATAGATAGTATCATAGAAATAGCTTCATAAGCCATGTGGATTTACCACTAGAATTTTGTATACAGTGACCTGTTACATCAGGCATGTAGTCTGAGCTGTCCATAAGCTTCAATAATTTTATGTATCACAGACATTTTAGTGTTCTTACAAGGTGAGTTTAACACAAGTGCCAGATAGAGCCTTGAAGAAATGGACATTTTGGGACATGCACTGGATGATGCTGTCATGCATAGAGTTAGGTAAGAAGATTGATGTGTTCAGTGAATATAAAGCCAGTGTCAGCAGCTTCACTTTGTTTAGCAAAAGGACTGGAAATATGGAAAAAGCTAGCCTGGCTCTATCTTAAGGTTAAAAAAAATGCACCTACTAATGTCACAAAAGCTCACTGACCAACATGTTAAATCTCGTTTATGTAAACTGTACGTGGTTTTACTGAGGGTTATGTGCCAGGCTCTTCCTTGACTGGCAGCAGTGACTGAACAAAGTACAGGAAGTTTCTTCTCTGGGCCCACAACTGCAGCATACATGCTCCAGCACATAGCCCTACCTGAAACTAAAACTCTTTATCCACAAACTTCAGTCACTGTACATTGCATTATTACAACTGTCAATGTGATTTAGAATGTGATCGTCTTACTTTTGCAACACAACCCAGAAGATGTAATTAGGCATTGGTTTTCAAGTCTGGAAATGTTGCTTATGCTTATCTACAAAGTGCAGTTTAGTAGGGAATCAGTACGATTTGGTTGCTTGTACTCGTGATTGCTTCTTATTCAGTGTGCTGTCCACCTTCCTGCAGCTTTGACAACTATTCCGCCAATGTGATGGTGGATGGGAAACCAGTGAATCTGGGCCTTTGGGATACAGCAGGACAGGAGGACTATGATAGGCTGAGACCATTGTCTTACCCACAGACGGTACTCAAACTCTCTTCTTCCCTAAATGAACAAACAAACAAGCAAGCAAGCAAGCAAACAAACAAACACACACACACACACACACACACACACACACACACACACACACACACAGTCACAGTCACAGTCACGTTGTAACTGAGGGAACTAATCTAATCTTAGGTGAGGAGTAAGAGGCATAAAATTGGATGTGACTGACATAAACATAATGTTGTAGCTGTTTGTAGTTGAAGAGGTAAATTATGCACCAAGCCAGGTGTCCAGAGTAACTAATAAGATGTTCTGGACATGCCTAGAGTGAAAGATTTAGTTAAACTGTTACTCCTATAATGATAAACTTATGACCAGATACGGTTAATCAGGTTGCATGAGTAGAAATTTTGCTTTAATTCTACATTCCTTGAATAGTGCTACCCAAGAAGCATACGTATTTTTCCATGTGTATAAATGATAAACATAAAAAATTACTTTATTTTGTGTCAACAGAAAGTTGTGAAATTTGTTTATTTATTTTTGAAATAGTTGCACCGTACTGCTCCGTATAAAAAGACTTTGTCTACTGACTGATTTTAACCCTCTGAACTCCAAAACCCACCAGCAGGTTTAAATAGCATGTTATTTTGAAAATATCACCAAATGAGACCATTTATTAGACAGAAGGTACAAACACAAAAAGAATAATCTGATTTTCAACTTTCCGATGGTCATTAAATTACTTTGACATGTCGTTCTGTTAGAAAACTTTACATCTTTAAAGTAGGATATTTCATTATAATCATTGAATTCTGTATGTCTCTTTTTTAATGCAAAAAAATAAACCATACACTATGTAAAAAACAGAAGAAAAAAATCTATGCTCTTCAGCATTAGTGACTCAGCTATGAGCAACTGTCAAAAATTCAGGGATTTTTTCTGGATGAACACATGACAACAAACTAAAAATGTAAGTAGTAAAAGATCTATTCTATATAAAGCTTCACTTTTTCCAGTGTTGGTAACACCTGGGGCACTTGGAAAAATTATTAAATTATTTTTATAAAATAAATAAAGAAATGCAACTTTTGTTTTTTTTCTTTTTTATGATTTACATCATTGTAGCTGTCAGACTGAACACAAGACATTTCTAAGTTCTCTTTACTTTCAGCCATGTTTGTGCTGCTTCTATAGAAGTGACAGACTTTACATTCAAGTGAAAAGAGGCCCACACTGAGGATTTTTTTTTAAAGGAGCAGAAAATGCCCAGAAACTGCTCTACTTAGAGTTAAGTTCTATGTGGGAGTGAGTTGATATCAGTGATTAGTAATTATTAGTAACAGTAGACTTTTAGGAGATCCTGCTTCAACGCCACACTCATTTCTAGAGACACTGTATTTCTATAGAAACAGTTTGACTTAAAACAAACAATCTCCTTTTTTCTTTGGTGGAAACAATCCAAGAGACAAGTGTGAGTCTTTTAAGAAGGTGTCAGTGTTTAGAAGAATGATTGTTGTGGCTCCACACATTCACACACATACAAAAACACAAACACACAGATCTTGCTCTCAACTAGCCATCTCTCTGGTTCTCTCCCAGGATGTGTTCTTGATATGCTTCTCCCTGGTCAGTCCGGCCTCCTTTGAGAACGTCCGAGCTAAGGTCAGTACAGTGACTGACCCCCCCGAATCCCCCACCTCCCCATGCCGAGTCTGACCACTAGGAGGCACATCTATGGCTCCACCTGGCATCACACTGCTGCTCCACCTGTTCAGTCCTCAGCCTAGAACAGTCTGGCTTTCAGCTGACTCCCCCATGGGATGAAGTACAGGGACATGTCCTAAGACGAGGCCTGAACAAGTGTAAACATTTTGCAGAGGGAGCGTGACGGCCGGCTGTGGTTTGGTCTGCTGAGCGTCATGAGACGCTCTCATATGAAACCACATTTTCCAGAAGGTCCATCCTCCCTTTGTAAAGTCTGTATGTTTCTGGCCTGAAAGGTTTTGCTCATCATGTGATACGATGTGATCGGAAGTTGCTTTGCTAGAGGATGTTTTGTGTTCGCACAACTGTGCTTCCAGTCTGATATATTAAAAATGACTTTTTTTATAGGCAACTCACAGTCTGTTGAATGTCATCGTGGAAAGGCGCTCAGTGCTCTGCCGTGGTATCCAACTAACTGTTTTCTTTCTCCTCTCCACTGACTTTGTCCTCTGTATATACATATGTGTGTGTGTGTGTGTGTGTGTGTGTGCTTGTGGTGCCTTAGTGGTACCCTGAGGTGAGACACCATTGCCCCAACACACCAATTATCCTGGTTGGCACCAAGCTGGATCTGCGAGATGACAAGGACACCATCGAAAGGCTGCGAGACAAGAAGCTGTCCCCCATCACCTACCCACAGGGCCTGGCCATGGCGAGAGAGATCGGTGAGGCTGTGTGTGCACACTGGATATGATTTCTGTGAAGACATTTGTCACCATTTATTTTCCACAAATGATAAGTGATGTATGTGTAGTCTTGCAATAAGTGAGATTAAATATTCAAAAAGTTAGGCATCATAAATCAGGTAAAACAGGGTGAGTCAGGAACCCAGTACTAACCATTGCTTACAGGATGATTACCAGAAATTCACATTCCTGATCTTGGCTGGATGCAGTCACATTTTAGCCAAATCAAACATTAAACCACACCCAGTAAATAGCAAATGGGAGCAAAGGCAAGTATTTACATTGTACATTGATTTTTTTACAACACTTATTTATTATAAAGGTACCAACAGCAGTTCATCTTAAAGAACGGCCCAAAGAAATTCTTGGATTAAGTGCTTTAAGCAGAGCTGCAGTCAGGATGTGGCCTCATTTAGCTCAAAGGCTGGAAATGGGGGGGGGACAGCTTGCCTCGCTCTGTTTAACTCAAAGTTCAAAAAGCAGCTACAACTCTAAAGCTCGCAGAATAATAGATACTATCTTGTTGTTTAATCTGTACATAGATGTACGCACAGCAATATAAAGTGATTTCAGAGGAAGTTTGGTTCTAAAACTGCACCTGGTAACCTGCATGGAAGTGATAGACACTGCACAGAAGAAGAAGCTGATGGGACACACAACCGTTGTTCATTACGGAACACCTCCAGCAGTGACTGAACAAACCACAACTTGTCAACCAGTAAGCTTTAGAGGTGTTGACAGGTATATTTTTAAAGATTGGACAAAGCCAGGCTTGCTGTTCCCTCCACTTCCAGTCTTTATGCTAAGCCTGGCTATACCAGACACTTGGTATCACTACCACTGAGATTTTGACTCTCAATAGCAATTTTGATACCACAGCAAAAAAAATACACCAATGAAATTAAGGTATTTCATCATCAGCACTTAAATTTGAAAAGACTTGGGATTAAGTCTTGGTAGTCTAGTAGTAAAGTGATATTACTGTGATTTAGTGCCATATTGTGCGAGGGGGGAAAACAGTTTCCCATGGTGGCATAGCATTTCTACTGCAGCTTTCTGATACATGAAATCTTAGATATAGTTGACTATGTGTGTTTATCTACTTTGTGCCTGTCAGGGGTCCGCTAACATTATCAGCAGCACCCAGCTCACATTGTGAATTACTGTTACATTGACCTAAACAAACTAAGGTCACCTTGGTGAATGTTGTCTGTGGAGCATTGCTACGTCAGATCCAACTGTCACAGTTCACAAACAGTACCAGTAATGTTTCAGGATGTGAACTTTGTGCTGACATGTTGTTTATGTAATGTAACAACTGTAAGTCTCACAGCTTGAATTCTGTTTATAGATCCAGTTGTCTGTTTTTGAGCTGCTTGCATCAGTTTGAGGTGTTTTTCTGCTTGTTCCAAATGTGACACAATTTGCATTCTGACTTTTCGTTGTCCCTTGTTGGTCCCTGGTCACTGATTCAGACAGTTGAATCTGCACGTGCTGACACCATTATGAAGAAATTACAATCTTCAGTAGCCTGGAGAAAAAACAATCAAGTTTTTATGGTAACATTTGCAGTACTTTTAGTACCTTTGGTACCATAGGAAACAAGTATTGTCACTTTTTCAGAATTCTGGTATTGACTTTGGGCACTTTTTTGGCCCTGACCAAAACTTCATACTTCAAACTTTCAGTTTCAGTGTGGGAAAGGTGTGGAGATGTTTTGAACTCAGAGGACGTAATTGGAAGTATTCTGAGGCACTGAGTTCAATGACATATTACTTTGTTTTTAACTGTTTTCATTTGAACCTTCCAAGCTGAAGCTGTGCTTGAGCTTGAAGTGGTGTCACTGACAACTGTGTTTCCCATCATGCCCTCTTACCGGTCCTCAGGGGCTGTGAAGTATCTGGAGTGCTCCGCACTGACCCAGCGAGGCCTGAAGACAGTATTTGACGAGGCCATCCGAGCTGTGCTCTGCCCTCCACCTGTGAAGAAGAGGGGAAAGAGATGCACCATGTTCTGAGGAGGAAACACTGCTTACACTACACTACATCACCATGAACAACAAACACTACTTCTCTGAGAGGATGAGAGAGAAAACTTGCGAGAGTGAGTGTGCACTGCTGAGACTGCTTTCTTTATATTGATGTTTTTTCAAAACCATATTGGTAACAAAACCAATATTTATTCCAATTTTTTTACCATTACTAAATAGGGTTGTAGGTTCTCTGTGAAAGACATTGACTGTCCAACTACTTTGTACTCATTGAACCACATCATGTTGCCATGAGGGCTGACAAAGGTTTCTGGAACTTGTTTTCATACTGCAACATCTCTTCTTTCTCAGCCATGCTTGCTTGAATTAATGCAGTGTTGACTAGATAGAACGTGAACTGTGAATAAGTCATCAGGTCTGAAGTTACCCTCAGCCTCTGTTCTAAGATCAGCAGGTTCAAGCCAAATACGACTGCATGCATTTACAACGTATTGTACAGCATTGTAGTTTCTTCCATCATTTCTGTCAGGTATGACCTCATTGTGCTCACCGAGGTAAACACTGAGATCTGTGGTCGTTGTGTCACAACAAAGTTAGGTGAGTTTAGAAACACCAGCAGCCAGATGATCCGTGTGGCAGTTTTTAACCACTGGATGATGATTTGGATTTAAACTACTCAAAACCAAACTGAGATGTTGAACAAAGGGTGCTAAATAGATAACCACGGCTCACTTTTTAGTAGTTTTAAGGTTTGCTGCATATTGCAATAATTTGTGTTTACTCAGTGCATTGTCACATAGAAAAATGTTGTGCTGTTGCTTTGACATATTGGACCTTTAGACCTAGTCAAAGAAACAGGGCTTATCTGGAACCCAGCAGCTCCGTTTTGTCTTAATCTGGCAAGTTGCACTTGCCATGAGCATCTGTAAGGGTTTTGATGGGGTTTTTAGTCCTGTCGGACCTTACTTAAGTAAGTACAATGCTGTTCATACCTGCAGGATTAATGGACAGAACTGACTACTTTCCTCCAAAAGGATCATGAAGAAGAGACATGGCTTAGCATTTAAACTGCAGCTAAAAGTAAGAGCAGCCATGTTTTCTCTGCTAACCTTTGCATTTAAAGCCATGCAAAAATTTGTTATTCTAAGTTTACCTTATGTTTGAAAGCAAAGTCTCATTCTTGACTTTAAAGCAGCAGTTTGTTGTGAGAAAAAAATCAAGCTTAATTTGTGAACAATAGTTTCACAAAATAATCTCAACTTAGAGTCCACTTACAATCTTCACAAGCTGTCAACCACAGCTAGCGGTTTTCATTAACAGAAACAGTTATAGGATGAAGATTTCTTAGGATCATTTGCTGGGTGGCTAAAGAACACAATGGGTTGTGGTTGAAGGTTTATTAGGAAGCTTGTGAGAGCACCTGTGGGTGTTCTACTCCAAGCGTCACTTTTAGCGAGGTGTAGATGGTGTATCCAAACTTTCCTTTCCTTTTAGGATGAAAACAAATCTGTTCTTTGAACACACTTGTCTTCTTATTTTAGGCAAGCACCTGATCTTAGTCAAGTGTCTTTGGGTAGCTTTCTCTAACTGTGAACATGTGACAGATGAGCATGCCAAACATGGGGGCTGTAGAACCTTGCTGCCTGAGTTCTGCCTCTGAGGGTAGAGGAGCTTGCATGGGTCTTAAAATATTCTGTCTTAATTTATCCCATTGTTTAGATTTTGTCTCTGTTCCTCTGTGTGTGAGTGTGTGTGTGAGTGTATATGTGTGCGTGTGCACAAGTGTGTGTGTGTGTCACAGGCGTGTATATAAATGCTGGTATTTGTGTGTGTGGACGGGCACGTGTCAGTATCAGTGAGACTCAAGCTCGTGTTGGTATCAGTGAGACAGCGTTGTTCAACATAAAAGACAGTATTGTTTTAAGCCAAGTTTTTTAGTGTCCAGTTTTTGGTACTATTTCATATTGTATTGTAGTAATACACAAGATTTTTCAACAATCTGTGGACATAAACAAAGAAAAAATGGATATAAGTGACATCTAGTGATTTACAGAATAATCCTTAGAAAAGAAATGCGTAATGAATATCTATCTACATGTACCTGAATATTTAGCTCTTAAAACTAAAACAATACAAACTAAAGGGATTATAGTCGCTCATGTTGAAGTTAGAAGTGTTGCTAACAGTGTACAATAAAGGGGCCAATCTTTGCAGAGTTTGTTATTGTGGCAAACAGTGTGGGTTGCACCTTTATGATATGCATTTCTGTATGGTTGCAGGCCTGCAGTGTGTCTGTCTCCCCCGTGTGGTGAGACGCAGCACTGCAGAGCCCTCTGTCATGCTGTCTTTGGTTGGCATAGCTGTGTGGTTGAGTCATGTTGTGTGGTCCTGCCTAACTAAGGTGTCGAAATGTAGCTGAGAAACGCAGCAAAAAATTCTAATACTAATATTGCATGGAAGTTCTCTGGTTATTTGACCCACTGTAATTCTTAGGAGAGGTTGTACGATGAAATGCATTGACCATGTATGTATGTAATGTAAGATGACTTGTATACTTGTTCCAACTGTCTTATTTTTTATTACTTCACATGTCTGTGTGGTGAAATATTTCAATTTTTTGTATACTAAATACAAATGTATATGTAAGGTACTCCTGCTTTCTGTCATGATTCACTCCTCAGCTGCAGCCAGGATTTTAGGAAGATATGTCCAAGTCTACCAATCTTTTCAGTGATATTTTCTGATAGATAGATAGATAGATAGATAGATAGATATATAGATAGATAGATAGATAGATAGCTAGATAGATAGATAGATAACTCCATTTTAGCAATGTTGTTTCAAAGGCAGTTCCACATTGCCAGGAAAAACAATTCTAGCAGGCACATATTGAGTAAAAGTAAGGCCTAAAAGAAATCAGCTTCAAAGACTAAAAATACAGCAGTCACGCTGTAAAAGTTCCTCATTTACAATGCAGTCCATAAACAGGAACAACATCCACCGTCAGTTCTTTATTTTTTCTGTCTTCAACATGATGTCTCCATGGTTACAGTTACACATGAAGGTAAACAAGACTAACAAAGTAATTTCCCATTTTCTTAGTGACAAATGTATTGAGTTATTTGCACTACAACACAAAGAACGAAGACGGATTATTAACCCATTATTTGGCCCTGTGCTGTGGACGGACCCGCAGTCTAAATGTAGACTGAAGACCTTTGATTATATTTTTCATGCAGAATATAGTCCCAAATCAAGTCAGAACAACACAAACTAAGATATTGTATTGTAGTGCAAAGGAGTTCCAATTGTAGTACAAAACCTGAATGTGGTGGTTTTATGGGATTTATGTGTAGAGGTTGGTAGGTAAGGGCTTAGCCTTTACAACATTCTGGTCCACAGGCAAAATAAGACTACTAATGCTCAAAAACATTAAAATAAACAAAAGAAAAACAGATACGTTTCCCTTAATCCTACATCAACCACAAATAACAGGGAATCTATAGGGAAGTTATGCAGTAGGTAAGTTTATTTAGTGCACAAGATTGATCTCTTGGGGCCGCATGTGATGGAATAAGACGCTTTTTTTTCTTAACAGAGGGACAATGTGCCACAGCAAGGATCTCGTAGGTCAGCAGGCCAGGAAGCCTCCATCCACCGGTAGAGTGACTCCGTTGGTCATGTTGCTCTTGTCGCTCAGCAGGAATAAAATACTGTTCACCACGTCCTCCACCTCTACACACACACACACACACACACACACACACACACACACACACACACATACATACACACACAGATCAGTTCACACTTGGATAGAGTCTGCAATTCTGGAAAAAAAGATATTTATCAAACTGACATATTAGCATGTGCCAGATTTACTGTGTGTTTCACTCCCACTGCAACCTTATCTCCAGCTTCCCTGCCTCTCCCATGTCTTGTGCGCAAACATGCATAAGTGTGACCATGCTCAGGACACACTAGTGTTCTGTGGATCAGAGAAACCTTGTTTCTTTCCAATTTACAGAACCAGGACTATGTACAAAAAACAGATTTTTTGACAGCTAGCAGACCAAGAGGAAATATTCACTGTATTTGACAAAAAGCACATTGGATTAGAATCGTTGATGCCACCTTTAATTAAATGAGCTGCTTCCTGTCTTTATGCTAAGCTAGATCCACCACATACTGACTCCAGCTATTGTTTCACCTTTGCCTCAGAGACAGTAGGATCTGCTTTCTCCTACTGTAACAGAGGAAGTTTTTTTTCTGTTCTATGAAACCAGTATGCAGACAGAAACCTATACTCATCTGACACTGACATTTATACATTTTCTGAACTTGCTTTGCTGATGTTATGATCCCCACTTTTTAAAATATCTGTAAAAGTATCTGGGATCATATCCACATAAAACCCTGATATCGATCCACTCATCTTATTTGGGAAACCATTCCTTTAAGATGTGACTCTGCCTCTCACTCAGCACATGCTAGGACAGGCTCCACTGTGAATGGATAATGTATGGAGATGTGAGCCCTGGAGCTTCAAGCTACACAGAGAGCCTGTTGTAACAAATTCAAATTACACCTCACTGTATTACAGAAGGGAACATTGTGCATATTTGCTCAAAAAAAAAAAATAGATCTGTGTCCTGCAGTACATGATGAAGTACAGAGTATGTACACAGTCTGCAGTGTCTGACCTGCGAAACGGCCGAGGGGGATGCGGCACATCATAGTCTTGGCTTTTTCGGGGTCGCTCCAGCCCAGGCGGCCCATCTCAGTCATCACCACTGTAGGGTTCACACTGTTCACACGGATCTGATCACAACACAACACAAGAGCTAAATTAAGGTCTGAATGTCACTGACTGGTCAAATGGCAGTCTCAGCGGTGCTGAGATGGAAAAGATGAGAAAGAGAAAAAAAACACCTGCAGAAGTAGGAGTTCCATGTGTACAAAAATGCTGCCAAAGATACTGTAAGTAACCCATCAGTATCTTTCAGAAAGTACTATATCCCATCAGAGACAGTTGTTAAGGTAGAACTATTTGGATCTTGGTTCCTCCAGTGGAAACACAGCTAGAGGAAATGAGTTCCTCAGAAAGGTTCTAGTTCCCTGACAAAATATTCTGTAGTGGAAACAGCTTATCATTCTCAGTGGAATGCACTTTGACTAGTGGTATTTTGCTGCTGTTCAACTTTGTGGTACGGCCAAATAGTATGTCAGTCAGTGTGGACCATTGACAACAAAGGTCAGGTTTTGATGAAGAGAAACTTGTATTATTGCTAAGTCAGTGACAATGTGACATCACTGTGAAGTGTGGTTAAAGGTTAAACACAGCAGACCTCCGGCCACAAACAACCACATGACAGAGAATCACTGTCTCATTGAAGCTCTAGTTAAATCTCTGGGATTCTGGGTAAAGACAGGTCCTGAAAGTGATGCTACCTGATGTGGTCCCAGCTCTAAAGCCATGACTTTAGTCAGCATGTCCAGGGCCCCTTTTGTGGCACCTGAGGAATGACAAGGACACAAAGGACACAATGAGAGAAACAGCAGAAACTAACTTTGTTTGTGTCAGTCAGCTGCTTTTCATTTAAAATGTAAATCTTTGTTTCCCTGACGTGTAAGTAAGGAGGAGCAAGGCTGTCAGGCTGTGGGTGAATGTTAGCTGTCCATCTGTTACTTACAATAGACAGCATGGTCTCTGAGGGCGCACTGCGAGGCCTGGCTGGACACATTGACAATAGAGCCTCCTGATCCTCTGGCCTTCATACCACGAGCTACTATCTACCCAGAGAGGCACAGCTCTGTTAGATTCCACAGAAGCAGTTTGAGGAACAAAACATTTCAATCTCAACTAATGGTGTAGCGTAAACCTGGAGTTTTGGGGACCAATACAGTCTGAGGCTGCGGTTAGTAACTCAGTTTTGATTGTTTTACCTGGGACACGTGCAGCACAGCTTTCACATTCACACTGAATGCCCTGAAGAACACAGGAAACATAACAAGTTACGGCATGAAGCTCTACCTTCTGGGTCAGTCCTTATCCTGTATCCTTTGATTAGTTATTGGTGCAACTACATCAGTAGGGTCATAAAAGTATTTAACATTTCTATCTAGTATCTGCCTTACTGGTCAAACTTGTCAGGTGTGACCTCCAGAAATGGCTGCAGGTTGGCGCAGGCAGCGTTATTCACCAGCAGATCGATGGGGCCGACGTCCTGCAGGGCCGCCTCGGTGGCCCCCCAGTCTGCCAGGTCCACACATACCGGGGTGATGGATGCACACTGTGAGAGGAAGTCAAAGCTAAATATACCAGTGATGATAACAGAAGAATGAGAGATGGAAATCAAGAAATGAGTTGTTTGGATTAAAGGTCTCCTAATATTAGTAGTTATTTCCTACTTATCCACACACATTTTCTGTTCATTTTTTGTATAAAACTCACTCGCAGAAAGTAAACTGTGGCAGTGAATACATACTGTACAGTTGTACTGTTCAACTTGTTCAAAATCTCCATTGAATAAAAATACTTTTGGAGTAAAATCCTTTACAGTAAGCATTCTGTAAAGTAAGAGGATAAAATTTCATCCTGATGTCACACTTCAAGTACTGGTTGAACAGCTTACTAACTGGTAATTGTTTTGAAGATTCTGAAAACTTTTAAACTGAGATACTGTATAACTGATGGACAGCATTTAAGATATCTTTTTACTAAATCAGGAATCTCTGGATGCATGTGTCTTCTTTGCATTTTTCAGTAACATCTTGATTTGTTATAAACCTGAAAATCAGTAAAAGTCAGTTCATGTTTCCACATCATATGAATAAACCATTCCAGAGAGCAACCAGAGAGGAGAGCTGAGTGATGATGATGGAGGAGAAGGAGAAGGATCAGGCGAGCACTCGGTTGCAGGAGATCAAGAGAGCAGTGGGGTGGAGAGCAAAACAGACACCGAAGATGACAATGAGTGCAGAGATGAAATTGGGTCACAATGGGACAGACAAAACAGAGGAGGGTGTGTGGGGGGCATCAGAGGTCAGGATCAGGGGCCCCTCAGATGGGTGACTTGGCTGTGTGGGTGGGGGTGTACCTCCTGCACCAGACTGTTTAGGTCGGCCTGCGTGCGCGTGACTGCGGTGACCTTTGCCCCGCAGCGTGCCAGAGCCAGAGCCGTGGCCCTGCCAATCCCTGGGATACAAAACATCCATAAACACAAAGAGTGATTATAGAGTGGAGCTGCTGCAGTGACAGCAGATCTGACACACACTCACACACACACATTCCACGCATGTCTTAGGCGTTACTCCACGAACAAAGCTTCTTTAAATTCTGCTCTCTCACTGACAACGCTCATTCAGGGTACGTGCAAATTCATCAGATGCCTCCATCAGTCTTCAGCTCTGCTGAGTTCACATGCAGCTTAATCACTGACTTGATCCCCTCAGCTTTAAAAACTTTGTTCTTGTTACCAACAACACTTTAAGTCCTGGTGATGCAGTTGTAAGCACAAAGACAAAATCTTTAATGCCATGTGCCACATTTGACAGTAAATATAACGTCTCCCCTGAAGACAAACAGTTTAGTACAAAGGTTTACACACACTTGTTAAGACCATGTGTGTCATGGTAGCCTTGTGTTTCCAATGACTTCTATAACTCAGAATTTTCTATGACTCATATGTAAACTCATGCATCTTTGTCATGAAAAACAATCATGGATTTTGGTTCCTTCATTGATTTATTATAGGTCTCCAGGAAAAAGGACAAGATCTGCTGTACATATACAGCATATACGGTCTGTGGTAACTACTGTGGTGACAACCATTGACTCTAAATGGGGCTTTAGGTTTTGTTGAAGCAGCTCACACAACGAATGCCTGGCTATGTCAAACCTGCTTCATGATACAGCCCTCAGAAATCACAAGTCAGTTTGTCCAGGGTTTGCGTCGAATCGTGCCACACATCTGCGACACAGAGAGTTAATGAGCGGGTCGATGCTGCGTGTAGAATGCTTTCCCACTTGTTGAAGGGTTTGTTGAAGCTGACGGACAGTTTGGGGGACAAGATTCCTCATTCAATAAGAGCATCATGTGGCATGCTGTCTTTATTACCATGCTGTCTGAGACTGGTTCTAATGGTGGAGTTGGACATTAAAGCTCTAACTGACATGTCAGCATCCAGCAACCAAATAGCCTGTTCTCGTCTTTAATGTTGTATCTGAAGCAACATGTCATTTAAATAAAGCAACATTTAAAGACGGCCTTTTATAATCAGGGTCCAGGAAGTGCCTCAGTGCTGGTCACTAAAAAAAGCCCAGGTAGTAACCAAAGTAATTCAGTGGTCAACAATTTGTCACTTGTTGAACGTTTTGTGCACAATTGGCTAAATTTAACAGCACAAAAGAAATGACACTTCTAACTCCTTTGACAAGTGAGAGAAGAATTTGAGAGACAATTTGCACGCTGCGTTTAGAATTCTGTTAAATCTATCACTGAACGGTCAATAAAGTAAGTAAAACATATTTTAAAATATATTAAATAGAACAATTTGACGAGTTTTATTGTGTGTAGTCCAAACAGTTCTTGTGCTGTGAGGACTCTGGACGGTGGGTGTAGTTTTTAAAGCGGCCTGCTGGTGTCGCCAGGCTGCTGTGTGTGTGTGTGTGTGTGTGTGTGTGTGTGTGTGTGTTGTGTGTGTGTGTGTGTTTTTTGTGTCGTTACCTTTTCCTGCTCCCGTGACCAGAGCATGTTTGCCTTCAAATGAGATCTCCATGTTGAGCTGCAGAAAGAAGTGAAACTCTTCAGATTCATTTACGAAGAGAAGTTTTGTCACTTATGCACAAACTTCCTGTCTGCTGTCAGGACTGATCGTGCTACACTCAGCAACAATTTCTCAATCTACACAACAATACTCCTGCTGCTGTACTACTCAGCTACATCTGAACACACTGCTCACACGTCTTTCTCAGTCTGCACACAGTGATCACTGCAGGCTGGCGACAGTCAGGACAATCCGGCCGATGCTCACCGACACACGGCTGAACACTGGAGGAAGCGCTGCGTCTGTGTTCTGATGGGCTCAAAGATTAAACTTAGACTGAAGTTAATGTTCAGATGGTGTTTGTCTTCCAGGTCATCCCTGCACAGTCACCGTGAATAGCCAGAAACCAGCAGGAACAGCTCTGCCCTGCGGAAGGACAAAAGGAGGAATGAAGTTTTCAGGTTTTACAGCAAAAGGGGAAACAGATTGACTGGTTTCAGTGATTTCATTTGATGTCTGTTTATGTAAATTCAATTAGTTAGGATGAAACAACGAGGAGCCGTGCATTATACGGTTTTAATGCACGCAGCGCAGCGGAGTGTTGGCACAGATCAGCTGTGTCTTGACATGTGAATGAGAGAAACGCGATAAAACATGGATTTCGAGGCTAATTTGAATATTTTGGCCGAAACAAAACGTTTGAAGAATGGGAAGAGGAGGAGAGCAAACAAGAAGAACAGCAAAAGCAACGACATAAAGATTTATAGCATGGTCAGCGAGACTTCTATGGCTAACTGGCATGCATTGTTTGCATGAACTAGTCCCCAAACCGTAGGCATTTTTAGCAAGTTCTATGAATTAGATAAATATTTTGTGTGTTTGCTCGCTGTGTGGGACCATGTTATAAGTAAGGATTAAAGGTGTGTTAGCGCAGCAAATGATTACTCGTGCATTGTTGTAAAATCTTGTGGTATTTTGTTATTTTGTGTTTTAGAAGGTGTTAATGTTTAATATGAATGGTGATAGTCTAAATTGGCTTAAAATCACTATTTAACTGATGTAAGGTTCACCCTAAACCCACAAAGCCTTGGATAAACAGATAACAAAATGTCAGAACCTGCTGAAGAGAACCAGTCTCCCTCAAACGCTCAAAGTTCTGGCACTCGTCAAAGAATATGAACCGAAAAGGCTTTTCAGTGGCGGATCTACCGTGGGGGCACGAGGGGGCACTGCCCACCACCCTATGTGCCCCCCAAAAAAAATTCGTTTGAAATTGTTATTACCAATTCTCCCAAATTACGACGCTCTTGAACGCAACGTCGTTGTCCGACTGCCTCTAAATGCACCAAAGACGTAAGGTGTTTTTTGATTGGGTACTTGCATTAAGTCTGGATTGAGAGGACATATGCGAACGTCGGCTGATGTCCAAGAAAAGAGAAGGAGCGGCATAAATAAATATGTTTCACAGAGAATGAAACGGAGCGGAGACATTTAAAACTTTTTTTTTTTATTAAAAAGAAGTCAGTAGCAGTACAGAACATTGAGAGCAGGGTCACTGCAGGTCAGACTGACAGCACTGACAGCTCAGAGTCCGGAGAGGGCCAGGGTCAGCCTGAATGCAGCCAGGGACCATCATGTGTTGTTGAGGCAAGCAACCAGGGCCAGAGCAGCAACCATGACCCTCCAGGTGAAAATGCAGATATGAAAAGAGTGTTGCACGTGTATTTTTGCCAAACAACAGACTTTATTTGTTATTCTGTCATAATTGGGTGAATTAAATGACTGAAAACTAATTGTTTCTATGACTAAACTGATGGCATTGATTTCTGTGTTGTTTTTAATTATGTCGTTTACAATATGGCAAGACATTTAACAATTTGCAATTCTTTAAATATGTATAATGTTGGTTAAAGAGATATTAACTCTTAACTGTTTCAACCTGTACCTTAAGATGCACCAGTGGTAGACAGACTACTGCCAGGAGTCAGATCCTGACAATGATCACTTGTCAGAAGAATCAAAAGGTAGCAGCACCAGCAGACATGTACAGCAAGATCAAACTTATTAATTACCTTCTTAATGCAACGATAAGGTCTGTTTCTGTCATCAGAGTCAACTTTAAAGTGCTGTTTTTTGTCAATTTAGGCAGAACTAATCTTCTCACTTTGTTGTTGTTGTGAGCAGACGCTGTAGACGAACATACACTGTCATGAGATCATATAGGCTCGTATCATCTCCTAATAACTTAACGTTTGTCCTTGAACAATTTTACCCGAATACACTGTCACTTGGCTCTTCCTACTTTTGTTCGCTTCAGTCCTCTTGCTTTTACTACTCAGTTGATCCGACACAGAGTTTGCTCCCAGGATTTGGTTGTCAGAGTTCACTTGCATATTCATAACAAAAATATTTTTATAATAATAATAATAATAATAATAATAATAATATATATAATAGTTAATTATTCTAATATTTTAATTTATTACAATTTTCCGAGGCCCCCCAAAAATATCTGTTGTACCCCCCTGTGCCACCCCACTGAAAATATCCTGGACCCGCCCCTGTGAAAAGGGCCAAGAGTTTTACGAGCAGGAATTACAGAAAAATGAAAAGGCGTTCAATAAATCATATGAAACTTGGAAGCTAACTGCTAAAGAGATAAGAGCTCAACTTAAGACTTTTTGCTCCTCAGATGACCTTAATAAAATTAGAAAAAATATTCTGTATAAACATGATAAAGTGTGTCAGTTTTGTAAGTCAATTCGATGCAATCACACACCAACTCCTGACAATGCTAAGAAAATGGATGCTGAACATTTCTTTGAGGCAGAAGTGGCTTGTTCCTTAGCCCGACTTGAAAGTAAATGACATCGTTATTATCAAAGAGACATACTCCCAAAAAATGAGTGGCGTTTAGGGAGAGTGGTTGAAGCGACAGCAGGTTGTGATGGGTTAGTTCGTCGGGTCAAGGTGCAGGTTGGTGATCGAAAGACTGCATCAAAAATGGAGAAACCTTCCAAACCATCAATTCTTGAAAGGCCTGTTCAAAAATTAGTGCTTCTTCTCGAAAGCAATTAACATTCCCCTGTGCCAAGTATGGGTCAATCTAAACCTTTTTTTTTTTTTTTGTGGCTAACCTTGGTAGTCTTAAATCATGTAGAACTTTATATTGTTGACCTCACAATTTAAATGTAAACATGATTTGGTGGGAGTTTAAGTGGCCACTGGCATTTGTTTTGTATTCATGTTCCTGGGTTGAGCAGCGCGCACCGGAACTGGTATAAAGGCCCAGTGTGTCATCACACGCCAACTTTCATTGAAACCAGGAGTTCATTGTGTGCGTGTGGAAAATTTCAGACGAGATGGTATGTGGCAACAAATATGGGTTGATTTTGTTGTTTGGGTTTTTTTTTGTGTGTGTTTAAGCGCATTGATTGTATTTGTATTTTATCATTGATTGTATTTGATCACGAGAAGTGAGCAGAACGGAGGCATACCTGTCGCCCATCAAGAATTTGCACCCTTGGCAGGCGAAGCGAGGTATCGTTTGCTATGTTTTTACTGAACATTCATACTTCGTAGAATCTAAATGGAATCCAAAATTGTATTTATATGCTCTGCTCGTTCGATCTTATTTTAGCTTTGTTATAAATGTAATTGTTTGTACATTTTAGTTTCATGGTGCACAGGTGAAATAAAGACGATTGAGCACCATTCGAGCTCCACCGCTGTGTTATTGATGCCGAGGGCAGCTACACGGCGTGTCCGTGGCGGCCCTCTGAACCACTCAGCCCACTCCTGTGATACTGGCTGACTGCAGCTTGCTCCTGCACTACTGGGGAGACAGAGTGAGGATTGAGGCTTGAATGGAGTCAGTGGACAAACGGCGCAATGACAGCATTTGGCACAACTGTGACACTTAACAGCATTTGCCGTTTTTTAAGAAAAGAGTTACGGTTAGGTGATTGTCACTTTGCCCAAAGCGCATTTCTGCCACAGCCCCGACGTGCCGCGTCCGACACGTGTGGAAGTGCGAGGACCCGTCCATTGCCACTTGCGGCTTTAATTATTATTGCTGTTATTACTATTATTACTATTATTATTATTATTATTATTATTATTATTATACTGAAGTCCATATAACACCTTCATTTATAATTTAATAAGTTCTATATATGTTTGTCTTGGAAGCAACGTAACCATTAACTTACTTGAAAGCAGTTTTAAAAATGAGACAGCAGCTGATAGATACCTTTAGTAAGGGTTCAGTTGTTTTCCTCTTTCTCCATCATGACTTGAGTTAGCAGCTGTAGAAGCACATGGACTCTTCTGCTGAAGGCGGGCTGGCTGTTGTTGAGCCAAAGTGCTGCATTTGTCTGACAGAAATGGGCTCAACCTTAAGTCAACCTTATGTTTGGGGTAGTTATGTATCTGTACAGTAATGTACTGTCCTATTAGTTTTTCAACATTTAACTTGATCCTAGCAGAAAGAAGAGCTCTATGCACCACAACATTCATCCCGCTACTTCTACCAGCATTCTATCAACAACCAGCCCCCCATGTTTGAAGGATGATGTGGCCTACTTTGGATCATGAGTCCTTCCTTTCTTTCCCCACACCTCCCTCTTCCATCATTCTGCTACCAGTCGTCTTGGTTTCAATTCTCCAAAGAATCTTGTTCCAGAACTGGGCAGGCTTTTATTTTTTAGATGTTTTCAAACAAAGTCAAATCTTGCCTTTCTTTTCTTCAGTGTCATCAGTCCAAATGCAAAGCCAACCCTCGGGATCAACCCTAAATCTTTATTCTCCTTAATTTGACATGAAATAGAAGGAAATAGGCCAGACATGGCTATGAAACTGCTTGTTAGTCTACTGTTTCATTACTTTTGAGCCTGTGAAAAAGAAAGGACTTTTGAGGGCACTTTGATGCTAATGCTTTTCAATACCTTTATATTTAAGTAATTATTCTCCCTCCACTGCCTAAGACTACAGCTGTGTCAACCTTTTTGTCAGCTGATTAAGTTTTTTAAGGACTTTGCACCGATAAAGTAAAGCATTAGTGTTTTTAAGGACTTTGCACCGATAAAGTAAAGCATTAGTGTGACATTTCAGCATTTTATTGCATAATCCTAGTAAAATGCCACAAACAAACACAGTTGCATCAGCACGTGTGTACAATGAAACACGTAAACTCAAGTGGGCGGACTTGCGTCTTATTGAAATGTATGCATATAATTCACCAATCAGCAAATACCAATGATAAATTTAATGTCGGCTCTTATGACTCTATAAGTGCTTTTGAATCCAAGTATGCAGATTTACACCTGTGAGATACTGATGTCTGCTGTCAAGCTTTCTGAAGCACAAACTTCACATTGTGAGTACAATCAGCTAAAGTGAGCAGTTCTTAACTTAAAGGAATGTGATGCACACAAGTTTCATATGTGTTGTCATTTCTTCATACACAGATGAACAATTATGATATTGCAGTTGAGATTAAATCATGGTTATCCTCATCAGCTAACATTTAAGTGATTACAGACAGAAAGTTTCTAGAGGAATGTGTACAGCAGGCATTTTATCCCAGTAATGCATAATGTCATTCAGTCTGTAATGACAACAACATTGTCAAAGCATAGCCGTGGTTATGTGGTGTGACTCAGTATGGGAGGAATTCTGAAACACTTGAGAATGCAGAAAGGTTTTATTCTTAATGAAACAATAGAACAATACATCAGTGACAGGGTTCACAAAAACACATATCACTCAGTTTTACCCTCTGACCTGCAGTGGGACACATGGGGTGGGATTTGAATCTTGTCTGCTGTGCATAAAGGCAGACTGGTGCTTTACACACATACTTTTACAAGCAAAAAAAAAAAAAAATGGTGTTAATCTGAATGAGCTGAGTGGGTGGAGACCAACAAGCAGTTTATCATTCTCCCCTTTGAGAAAAGAACCATGATCTTAAGGTTTAAGAAAATGTTGTTTTCAAGGACTTTATTTCCCATTTTATCATGAGCTCATAATTTAGAGGGTCAGCAGACCAACTTGCATACTTAGAAAACTACAGCATCACTGTGGCGAGTAACAATTCTTCAGCAAGTAAATATCTGCTTTGAGGTCGATACTGATGTAGCGGTGCTTGATTAGAACTAAACATCAATTCCAGCTAGAGCTGCTGTGAAAGTCATTGGTTTTGCAGGTATCTGGTCATAGAACAGAGTATTGGACAAATTCTATTTCTGACCTGATGATGGTGCTAGAGGAAAATTCAAAGGGTCACCAAAGATTTTAGAATTCATCCTGTCAAGAACATGAATGTCTGGACCAAATTTCCTGGCGATGCATCCAATTGTTCTTAAGCAATTTAAATCATAATCCATGTGATTATTTGGGATCTATTCACATTCCTAGAGCCTCACTAATGTGGTCAGTTAAAATAAGGCTAAAGGCCTACCTGCTGGTTGGCTCAGAGAGGTCCAACAGCATAAATGTGCTGAAAGGACCAAGCAACAGAACATTAATAATTAGCTCTAAACAGAGCTACAAATGTAACATGTTTTCTGAAGTTGATGCAAAATGAATTGTGAGTTACTGGCAACACTGGCACAAGCTCAAAAATCATGCACAAATACCCACTGCCAATTTCAATGGAAATTATTTGGACAAGTAGTTTTCATTCTAACTTATACACATATATGATTTGTTCTCTGGTGATCAATATTTGTATCAGATTTCATGCCAGTCATGTTGAGATATCTTTGGCCCCACTCACAAAAGTCTGACTCTGCCACCAAAGTAGCTCTGCCTGAAAGAAGTATACGCAGAGCGAAAACTACAACCTATGCAAAGAAGAAATACACAAAGTAAACACAATATATATATATATATAAAAAAAGCATTCACTTATATTTACACCGACACTGTAACATACAGCTACAGTCAGTAACCTACAGGAAGTGACAGAATCAAAGTAGTGCAAAACCATAAACACGGGCCTGTTAAGAGATAGGCCAATACAAGGAGAAGGTGTTTAGTTACAACAGACTGAAATAAATGTGAGCCCACGCAGCATACAGGCCAAGCACAGAGGTTTCCTGTCATTCCTGCAAAAAGTCTGATTTCTGCCTATTAAACATCAGCTCAGCTCATGTTTTAAACTGACCATGACATTGCTATTAAAGTACAGCAACTAACTTTTCATTCAATTTTAAGTTGAATTTTAAATCACAAGGAAGATGAAAATGGATTCAGTGGTTTGTTGGGAACAAAGTGACTTTAAGGCCTTCATTAAACACAAAAACCTCCACACCCTCATAAACGGAGAATACAGCTGAAAGAAATGATAATACTGTGAGGTCCTTCAAATACTGTAGTGTTGGCCTGAATTACTTCATCACTCGTTTACAGGCAGACATCATCTCATCGGTTAAGTCAAAGAACATCACGTTCCGAACATAAGATAGCCTCCTGGCAAATCTAAATGCCAAAAGAGGAGATCTAAATTCAACAATTTCTTTGAGTCATTCATAGCAACAGGATAGTTTCAATTTTCCTGATTGATTTGTACTTCTATAGCTTTGGTCAGTGACTCAGACTAGCCCATGGTTTAGCTGAACAGGTAGATGGGTTCAGTAAAACCACAGCCGTTGGAGCCAATAAAAATCCCAAACCACTTCATATTTCCTTAATAAGGCAAGGAGTTAACGGAGCCAAGGGAGCCTTGAGATAAGAGTGAGCCTCAGATTCTGTTGTTGCACCACTTATTCAGTTTACTGGAATTTGGAAGTTAAGCTCTACGGAGACTATATTCTGCAGCTTCAATCCATTTAGGTACTGGGATACAGAGTTGCTTTCTGACCGTGTTCTGGTTATGCTAGCACTATTACATTTCATTTATGCTTTAGCATTAAATTTACCCTGTAGGTACGGTAGACCAAGCAGCAACCTCTGAAGCTGAAAAATGAAGCCAATGCTGAAGTGATAAACACTGCAGTTTCTTGAAAGGCCACTTGAGACTTCCAAAAGAGAGTCAGTCCCCACAGACCCCCGTGTTAAAATGGTCAACTTCACATGAGCAATAAACATGTTTACAGACTAGTCCACAAAGTGGTTTTGGTCTCTGTGACCAATTTCCCTGTTCATAGTAACTGCATGCAGGTGAATTATTATATATCAAGGTTTAAGGTTATTCATCTGTCTTTCTCATAATGCAAACACGAGAGGATGTATTGTAGTATATGTAGCCATATGCCATTGTCATAGCTCTACCAATGTGAGTATAGACTTCATCTGTTCCAACATCCTCTCTCTCTTTTGCATTGCAGTAATTTTGGTAAAAAAAACAAAAACAAAAACAGTTCAGTATTAATTAGGTCCTACTCCAACATGATGAAGTACACAAGAAACTCAATACAGTGGCACATAAACCCAACTGCTAACTAGTGTTTTGGCGGTGTAACTGCATGACACAGACACACCAGGAACCAGGTATCAGTGGTCACAACAGCGCTGGCTCTGCATAGATTCAACGCAGGAGGTTAAATCAAGCTTTATGCTGCTGATGACGATATAAGGGGGAGGAACATTAACACCTCTTCCTAAACCCCACTTGGCTGCCTTGGAGTAACACCAGCTCAACTTCAGAAGGTGTGTCACCTCTTGTTACCCATTCAGCTGATTGCGATTACAGTCTAAACAATATTGCAGGAATGTAGTTTTGTTTTACTTGAGATGGACATGACTAGAAAGCTATGTCGTCTCTGAAATGATAATTGACAGTAAGAAACAACCAGGAGTGGCTTTACACACTGGCACCCTCACCTTTGATTACTGCCACCCATTAAGGAGTTCTGTCTCTGAAAGGTACTGAAGACACTACTAACACTAGTTCTGTGCAATCAAATATTTTTGAATGATTTCCAGCCAAGCTTAAACATGGCAGAGTGAGACAGTGGGATAAATGATGTGGCAGGCATCAGTGCTGCAGAATATAATCACAGTGGCATTCAGTTTTTGCGTTGAGGTTTGAGCCTTGGACACCACTTCGTATCTGGATACAGGTGACAGTGGATTGTCTTAAACCTGCAGGATGGGAAAAGAGAGAGTCAGTAAAAGAGTAACAAACTTTGAGTTATCATGTTGCTTACACTGTTTTAGAGTCCGTCAAAAACAGGAGCAGTGTTTACTTCAGCAATAATCACACAGGCCATCAAACTGAATTATATAATTTAAGGATGTCTGACACAGGACTTTGTTACCAATTCTGTTATGCCCTGGCTTAAATGTACTTTTTCATAAATAATAGTGCTACACAGTGCACACTTGAAGCGTACTATATGGCCAAAGCAAATTAACATGTCCTTCTGAGTACTCTTGGTTTGTCTCTTGCTCCTGTTTGGCCTCTTCGTTCAAACAAAGTGAAGCCTAATGCCCTGCTCTACTATGGTGCAGCAGTTTTTCCATTTTTTTCTTTTTTTTGTGGAGGAACTTGAGTGGCCTGCACAAATCTTAAAACCAACCCCACCCATTTAAGATGAACTGGAACACCAACTGTAAGCCAGCCATAATCAGTGACTGACCACACTGATGCTCTTTTGTCTAAAATGGAGCAATTACCACAACAAGGTTCCAAATTCTGGTGGAAAGACTTTCCAGAGAAAGTGGAGGCTGTTACCGCAGCAGATTAATGCTCTTGGTTTAGAATTACAGGTTCAGCTTTTACGTATGACTGCAACACATGCTGACCATACAGATAACTTCTGCACTGAGCCAAACTTATTCAACTACAGTCAGATGCAGGATGCTAAAGTTCTGCAATATGATTTTTGCAACATAAGCAACATTAGAGCATCATAAATAATCCGTAGAATACTAATTCACTAATAAAATAAGCTAAGAACCAAGCCATATGAGTGTGTAGGGCAGCAGAAGGGCCCTCTTAAGTTGTTTGTGTTTACCTTGTGGGGTCCTCAGCCAGTGAAAAGCCTCCAACAATACTGACTACATTCCTTCTGTTCTCAAAACCTCCGTAACTGAGAGTCACCTGTAGCAAAGCAATCACAACATACAACAAACATTTAATTAATGTCATGAATTTCTTTCAATGGAAATGATGAGAAACCAACATTACAACTGCTTCCAATGGAAAAATCTGTCATCTGATAATGCAGCAATTTCCCTGAGGTTTCAATAAAGGGATCAATAAAGTTCTATTCTATTCTATTCTATGAAAGTCTTTTTTTCCCAAGGTTGCTCAAAGTTCTTTCCATAGTTTAGATGAAAGAAAGCCACCACAAACACAGTTGCTCACCTGCTCCAGCACAGTGTCAGTGGGCAGCTTCTGCAGGTTCTCCAGGTGAGAGTGGAAAAGGTGTGTGTGCGTTAAAGTGACCTCCAGCAGTGCTTCGATGATGTAGCCGACGGTGCAGTCATCTGGGAGTCGGATCTTCTCTGCTGTGCTGATGAAATTCCCCAAACTGAAACGACAAGACAGACCCCAACGGCGTTGCTATGAAGTGTTGTCCAACTGGGGTGGGGGGTGGATTTCATAATTTTAATATGGAGATAATGGCATAGTGTTGAGTTCACATTAACAGTGACAAAAATATTTTTGTAATTTGTATTTTTATAACAAATGAAAAGACAAGACTCCTCACAGTAGGTAAAGTAGGTGCGAATGTCCTATTAGAAAAGGCAAAAAAAAGTTAGGACACACAAGTATAGATAGTAGTGCATCTCAAAAAACAAAAACACATTTTTCTCCAGAATTTAATTAAAAAAACACATAAACTTTCATGTATTCTATATTTCTTACACTTAAAGTGAAATATGTTCAGGCATTGTTGTTATAAATTTTGAGGATTATGGCTTATAGCTTATAAAAAATGCTTTAACAGCTCATCTGTGGTCAGGCGTTAATTAAAAGGAAATCGGCATCTCCATAAAGCTTGTCAGCAGATGGAAGTATGAAATGCTCTAAAAGTGTCCTGGCAGACACTGAGTTGACTTAAGACTTGATAAAACACAGTGGACCAACATCAGCAGATGACATGACACCACAAACCATCACAGACTGAAGAAACTTCACACTGGACTTGGATTCTGTGCCTTTCCACTCTTACTCTAAACTCTGAGCAAAATTTACTTTCATCTGAAAAGAGAACTTTGGACTACTGAGCAATAATCCAGTTCTTCTTCTCCTTCGCCCAGGTAAGCTCTTCTAGCTTTGTCTCTGGTTCAGGAGCGACTTGATATTAAGAATATAACAGTTGTAGTTAATTTCCTGAAGCTGTCAGTGCTTGGTGGCTCCTGAAGCACTGATACCAGCCTCAGTCCACGCCTTGCTAAGCTCTGTAATGTTCTTGAATCAACTTTTCTTGACAGTTCTCTTAAGGCTGCAGTCATCACTGTTGCTTGTGCACTTTTTCCCACCACATTTTTTTTTTAACGTCCAGTCAACTTTCCATTACTGTGCTCCAATACAGCACTTTGGCAACAGTCAGCCTTTTCATCAGTGACCTTCTGTGGCTCCTTGTGGAGGAGATCAGTGATCATCTTCTAGACAACTTTCAAGTCAGCAGTCTTCATGATTGTGGTTGCTTTAGTACTGGACTAGACTAAGAGATACACTGTATTTATACTTTTTGAATAGTAATTTACTCAAACTTGAAATGAAATATTGAAATACTTTGAGATACTGAATTTCTGTTTTCCATGAGCTATAAGACATAATCATCAAAACGAAAACAAACAAAGGCTGGGGACATTTCACATGTAATGAAACTAGAATATATTTAACTTTCACTTTCTTAAATAATTGGTGAAAAATGTTAAATGTTTTCATAATATCCTAATATTTTGAGATGCACTAGTATATTAATGTCTGACTGAGAGAGAGAATTAAAGAGAAATTAAATGTGAAACTTTTTTTTTTTTACCAACTACTGATCACTATAGCAGAGGCTGGAAAAAAAAAGCAAGCACAACATACATTTGGCAGGACTTTTGGCTCTGGCAGGACAGGTAGGATAATCATTTTAGAACAGCTTAATGGTTAAATGTGTTTGGTGAGATGTCAGTGCATTTACATAAAAAAATAAATAGTAAATTCAACAGGAGGCAAAGAGAACCCATTTTCCCTGTACCTCAAATTACTTTTAAGATACTTTTGCTTTTAAACAACCTGTGTCAAGCATCAGGATCTAGAGATTCTTGTTTTCATGAAATATGGATCACTGTTTTTATTTTTGTCTTCACCTAGGCATTAAAAACTTGGTGTATATGACTACTACAAATCTAGATGCATTTTTTTAGGTTTATCTAAAGACATTATTAAACTTCTCATCAGCTAATTATCTTCCATATGTTGGTTTTTGTACAGAGAATGGTTGGTGAATTTCAATGTGAAGTAACTGTGAATGTTCCATGAGCAGCAGCGTTATTGACCTACCTGGCCCATGGGCTCATTTTCAGGGCCAGACCTCGACTGATACAGAAACCTGCTCCACCTGTGGCGAACCAGAACTTGACAGACACCTGAATCAAGATGAAAACAACACATCAGTTGGAAGTTTGGTGAGGGGGTGGAAGCCTGAGAGAAAAACATCACCATGTCATTCATTATAGTGCTTTATTATGTTCATTATCTCACCCACTTGTTTGACTGGACATTGTAAAACATGGCTTTAGATCAGCGTTTCCGAATCTTTTCCTCAGAAATACCCCACAGCCAAACTGAACTCTTCATCAACTTCATCATGTTCCAAATAGGTTCATTTCTACTCATTTTAAAATGGCCATCATTTACCAGTACTGATTATATAAAACTACCAAACAGTCTGGTTGCATAATACCCCTCGATGTGTACCTCCAAGGTACAAGTTCCTCTGTCTGGAAACTTCTGATTTAGAGAGACAACTGAACTCATCTTCAGCGGGTAAAGTAGTTACAGTATTGCTTGCTGCTATATTTGTCGGTGAGGGGAGCAAACTCCTAATGAAGGCATAAGCTGACTGACCGATCCGTCACTCTTGACCCTCTCTGCAGCCTCAATAGGGTGATCCAGACTGGGCCGGCCCAGGTAGACGTCCTGGCTGTGGTGGTAGGAGGAGAGCAACCGCAGCATGCTGGCCAGGATCACATAGTTGTCATCATCCACATGGCAGAACCACCTACAACAAACAAACACACAAAATGTAGTGTAGGTGTTAACTGAGCTTTCAGCTTGAATAAATGTCATCCAACAACAGTGAGAGGAGTTCATTATTTATTTACTGTGGACTGCTGTAGTATACTATTTTAAATAATGCACAAATCACATTTCACTCACTTCTTCTGAGACTCGATGAATTTATCATACTCCACAGACATCTTGCAGCACAGAGCTTGTCGAGTGTGAGCTGCTGAGCAGTTTGTGTTGATGATGTTAGTTCCTGGGAAACAGACAGTACAGGACAGCACAGTTCAGTCAGGGGCTGACTGGTGCTGAGTACAGCAACTTACTGCAGCTTCAACAGTATGTTTTATACAGTAGACAACAGAAGTGAGTACACCCATTATCACCTAAATGTCCAGTTTGGTAAAACCAAATCACCTGTTGATGGCTGCATTATTTCTAAGCTGAACAGTAGAGAATTTCATGTTATGAACAACCAAAAACAAATACTTCAAAAAGACTATACTGACAATACAGGCTCCAAAGTAGATGCTCAGTACAACAACAGTGAACACACCTGTGATTGGTGACACAAGTTAAAAACGCTGTGATCACTGGATCACCAAAACTAAATTGAGTACGCCTGCGATTTCCAATTGGACAAACTGCATGAACACACTCATAAAATGACCTGTGAACAGCAGTACTTCTTCAGTTTTGGACCAGTGGAGTGTGTCTACCTGCATGTCTGCATCATGGCTGAACATGGAGAACAGCCAAAAGAACTGAAAAAGTCTAATTGTGAAACTTGTGAAATATGGAAAAGAAAACAGACAGATTAACAACCAACTGAACAGTCCAGCTTCTTACCTGTCCTCATCTGCAGCTCCTTATCCTCACCATCAGTGAATATGTACGTCTGAAACAGACAAGGGCACACTGTCTTAGAGTGTTGTGCAAGCACACAGATGCTCCTCTACAAGAAAACCAAGCGCTCCTTTGTTTTCTCTCATTGATTAGGATGTTAAATTACAAGAGGAAGAGCAAAGACAACAAAAATGACAAACATTCAGTGTCAGATACAGCTGAAGGAACAGAAAAGCAGAGAAAGAACACATTTCAAATCATCTCTCATTGACTAAACCGAAGAAACTACTTGTAACGAATTATGGACTCAATTAAAATTTTACTGAACGACCACACAAGAACTGCCTGTTTTTACAAACAAGTTAATCTGCTACACTGGCTCTAAGCTGCTTTGTATGTTGGCTTTGACTGATGTGCGATCACTGTTTTTCTATTCTTCCCTGTCTGTCCATCTTGCACACCACATGACACTTTTTGGTTTCAAGAAATTTTGCAGGCTGCAATCTTGATGCTGAACTTTTGTTTATCTTTTCTAAATGAATCATATTTCACCGCATTCTGACTTGTCACTGCAGAAAAAAGGCAGGTGTTATTATTAAGATAAGTATGGCTTCATTGCAAGTGTTAATGGAGCAAATTGCCTTATGTAGCCCCACAGAGGACAAAATCTGAACATTTCTGTCTGAATGCTAAAGAAGCGATGCTATATGATTTACATCTGGGGCTCAATGGTTTTCACAGTTGTCATTGCTGCTATATTACATCATCATGGTTCTTAAGCCTGGATTATACGCTTTGCAGATACAAACACCAGGGACACATGATTAAATTCTACCACTTTCTAATTTGATGGAGTAAGTGTTCTCAAATGCACAGTCGATCAGCAAGTATGTATGCCAGGCATGCACACCGCTGCCAAGTATGCACACAACTGTCTATGTATTATAGTGGCCCACAAATTTTGGGCTGCACGTGAATGTCTGCAGAGAGATCGGTGCCGACTCTTGTGGACTTGAGCAGATGACACAAATGTGGACCCTCGCATACTCAGATAAACTACATTTTCCCCACATCTAGACTCCTATTTAAGTCAGAACGTTGATACTGAAGTCCAACCCTCTCTGTATAGTTAGCCCTGAACAGCGTAGACACACACAGGCATGTTGGGCCTCTTCAAAGCGCTATAGGCAGCGTGTAACCTTCACAGACCGTCAAATGAGCCAGGCAGTCAATGGGCTAGTGGAAACTGACTTTGGACTTCAAACAAATATACGGCCCACTGGTAAAGTAGCAGCTGCACTGACACATTTACAATAAATACAAATGAGTCTGAGCAGCTTTTAATTTTACAGTCAGCCGTAAACACAGGGGGCAAACTTTACTGACCTGAGGCCAGTAAAAAAAGGAGGCAGCAGGCCAATAATGCCTCTCAGTATCTGCTTCGCTAACGCAGAACAGGCCCACAAAGGAGTTCTTTCACAGCAGACCTAGAGTCAGAGCCAGTATGAACCAAGCTGTTCAAACTGAAAGCACAAACTCAACTGGAACTTGTCCCTTGTCTGTGACTGTGGCATGTGTGGCTGAAGTGGGGCAGAGTGTTTCTACAGTTAAAGCTTCTTCTCTCCACACTGAGGGTCTTTGTCCTGGAGTTGGCCTTGCTAATTTCTTTTAATAGCGCTCAATACAGAGCTGGTTACAATGCTTTCTGCGCTGGCTACTTCACACTTTGTGGGATGCTAAAGCTACTGTAAAGCCAAGTCTTCTTTCATTAACATTTGACTCTGTTTGTTAAAAACAGACATCACATTGGCTGAATATTAATGACTTGTTGAATGCAAAACTACACTTCAATGTGTCGCAACAGCAAAGGTTGCTTCTCAACTGCTCCAGAGCAGCCACGGAAATCAGCTATGTATAAAGCCATTTACTGCAATGAAACAGAACATTAAAGTCCAACAGAAGGGGTCAAAGAGACACAGTACAGAAACTATTTGATTTAACTGATCTTGCATTTTGCATAAAGTCACACGATGTGTTAACGTTTTTTTATCTACATGCCCAAAATGTCCAACTACGCTCACACTGTACAGGTTGATTGGCACATTACAACATGGGTGCCTAAATTGCGTAAACACGGAACAACTGATCAGTTTTGTACGCTGACAAGTGTGATTCTATATAGTCCACAATGTAGACTAACAGGAGAAAGCAGCCTCACTGTGGGATCCTATCAACTGTAAAATATTACCCCAATAATATCAAACCAAGCTCACTACAGTTCCGAACAGATCTGACAGCAGCTGTATGAGAAATCTGATCCAAAATGCAGTTCACAATGTCTGGCATGTTAGAAGTCCACCAGCCGTCTAATGTCCAGACAGTCGACCAGTTCTGTAACTAAGCCAACATCCAAACCCTCTTGGGTGAATGGGGAAAAAAACAGCTGATTTAGTAGAAATTGCTGGATTCTATGTCTGAACCAGTTTGGAGTTAAGGTATGCTCCATATTGGCTCAAAAGTAGAATTCAGTTGAAAAGGTTCCAAATGAACTGTCAAGAACAGATTCGTTCCACCCTACTGGATGGGAGTCTGGGCTGTGCTGTAGTGTGTGATGGATGTGTATGGTGCGTGGTGCGGCAGAGATTCCTTCAATGAGACTTTTGGCATGTGTCTTCCAGTTTCAGGTTGCTGTGGAACTTTCTGTCCAGAGGTTCTTGGTCATGGTTGCCCAAATGGAACAAACACATACACTTAGATGGTATAGTATTAGGCCTTATCTACAGTAGGCAGCAATGCACAGTATTTGGAACTGTGGAATAATTCCACAATGACCTCAATAAACAGCTTGATTCTGAGACAGAGCAAATGAGGAGGGAAGACAGATTTATTTTCTTATAAATGTCCTGTGGTTTCGCTAAATGTCTGAGGATAAACCGCATCTGCGAGGAAAATCTGGTGGTGATAAGGCAACACCCTAAAATCCACCCTAACAAGAGACACATAATGACTGTAGACAACACCAAATCCATTACAACTAACATAACTGTGTAAACAAAAATCCAAAATTTGGTGGTTGTGTGTGTCCCTCTGTCAACACGACATGCCACAGAAATGCGTTTATATGAGAACTGCTTATGTCTTTAACATCGTCTTCTGAATGTTATGTCCTCTGACACAACACATTTATTGCTACAGTAGAGCTTTAGCAGATTCACCGCAATTACGGAAGTCGTTATGGATGGTTTATCACTTGGGTCATATTAGTCTTAAGACCCTTTCAGACATGCACACCATTCCGTTAATGTAGTGGTAATTTAACGTGTTGACTGCATGTCGGAATGAGCACTCAGGTCACATTTCCATAAAAGTCGCACCAGCAATCTTTGGTCGGACCTAGTAACATTTCTGTATCAGTTTCAACATGGCACAAGTCTGAGCTGCACCATTACATTAACAGATTGACACGCGCGAGCAACGGAACCTCTAGTTGTGTGAAGTGATTTAGAGAAGGATATGTCTACATTTCAGGACCACTATTCGTCCAAAAACATAACAGAGGCTTAATGTACAGCTAGTCTGTCTGACACACTAAACAGTTGTAGGATAAACACATGGCACACCTCACACTTCAAGTGTGGTGGCACCATGGTGCACAGTGGTACAAGGGTCAGCACTACATCACCTACAGACAAGCAGGTTCTGGGTTAATACATGTTGTTTGGCTGGGGCCTTTCTGTGTGGACTTTGCATGTTCTCACTTGGGTTTTCTGTGGGTACTCTGGTTTCCTTCTACAAGACATACACGGTAGGTCAGTTAGTGATGTTGAAGGGATCACTGGTGTGAGTGTAAGCATACATGGTTGTCTGTCTTTTTGTGCCCTATGATGGACTGGTGACCCCTATGACCCTCTAGAAGATAAAGCAGGTATAGATAGTGAAGGGAGATGGATGTTTTATGTGGTGTCATGCAGTACTAGTGTTCAGGGCATCTATTTTTTATTACTCAAACCTAAGTCTCTTCATCTTATCAACAGGTGAAAATACTAAATTCTGTTGGATCTGGGTCAAAATATTATTCGCTCCCAAATGAATCCCACCAGTTTTGAATCCCAGTCAATCATTACAAATGTGATCCATTTCAGCATTAAAGCTTTCGACTTAGTCTGTGCAAAAGCTATATAAAAGCAGTAATCTCATTTCAGGACAGTCCCCATAGTGAACACAGAGCAGTTCAGCAGCATGCACAACATGAACAACTGCAGCTCTTCTTACCTGTTCTTTAGCTTGTGACACCCAGGTTTGAATCAGCAGCTCTAATCTGGACTTGTGGTATTTCCTGGTAGTCTTCACTGCAAAAAAAATGTCCTTCAGCTCCAACTTGTCCGACCCTAGAAGTCCACCAAATTTTCCCACAGGAAGAGCACTTCTTTCAAGGCCTCTTCTGGAGTCCAACCCCCTCTTGGGGTTGTGGTTATAGTTTCTATTAAGTCCAGTCAAGATGGGTCTCCCCTGCCATGGTGAGCTCCTACTGGGTCTAGTGGCCAAGTCTGTGTTCCCCACATAGACAGAACCTGCACCAGCACGGTGTGACGAGCTCACCTGGGCAGGTCTAACTTGGGGTCGGGGCTGAGGCAGGGTCACCTGGCTCGTTGGTGGCTGGAGAGCCGGAATAAGTAGAAGGATGAGACCACAGAATGCAAGGGAGAAAAGGAAGCAGAACTTGCTGACACCCACTGACGCTATGTGCATCCTGACTGGCCAATGGCACGAGTTCATCAGCCTCCAGGGCTGCAGTCACTTCCAACACCACGCTGTCCCATCATCACACCATCAAAGGGAATCCTGCACAGAAAGACCAAGGTTCAAAAGTGTGTTTAGAGGGCGTTCATAGTCTTAACTTCATTCAGCATCTCAGGCAGCACATTTTGTGTAAGACAGGCTTTTCCGAGGATTAGAACGAGCTCTTCTATCAGGCAGGAGTCGCGTTACTGGGGGTTCACTGTAAACACAAGGAAGGATTTAATACTTCATTCGCCTTTTTACAATAAAAGCCCATTAAATGCATTCAGTTCCATTTTTTTTTATTTTTATAGCACCTACTTTTCTACAAAAGAACTCTCAGGGCATTTTACAGACCCCAATAATATAGACACAAACAAATCGAATGATCCCTTCGAGTAAAGAACTGGAAACGGCACATCTTACTTCAAAATAAAAGTTTAGAAAACCTACTCCTGTAACTATGTTGATAGTTAGAGGAGTAGGCAACATTAACACAACACCTTTTAAATGATATGGTGCACTTGCTTGTAAAGCATTGCTAGTGGAACAACATGACCGTGTATTTGAAGAAGGGTTTGTTTTCACTAAACTCATTTAGCTCCGTTTTTGGTCTCCATCAACTTTTGTGGGAAAGATCAGGCTCTTTAGCTGCTCAATGGTTCATTGTGCTCACATGCTCATCTTAACTGTAACTGAGTGCTTTTGGTACTGAGCAGGTAGTGTACAGTGAGGCTTGGGGATTTTTTCTTGCGTCCTGCAGCTGGGAGCAACGCTACAATAGCGACAAGAATGAAACAAAACAGTGAAGTTGAGCCAGACAGCTTAAGAATGAGCTGAAACTAACTATGGGACCCTGCAAACTGTAGGTAGCTGCAGTGTTGGCTGGTGATCTTCTGCACGTTTACTGTGACAAGACTCGCCAAAATTTCTAGTTATGGGTGCAACGACTTCCACATTTTCAACAGCATCTGCATACTTAAATGGCCAATCAAACACATCAGTAAAGAAGGTTGGAGGTAAAAGAATATGAGGAGAACATTTGTGGCGTGGAGGTATGATGTGAGTGTTTTTAGCAGTAGCACAGTAGCACAGCACCAAATGGAGCACTTTCTACATCACCACAGCACGCCACTAGTTTGAGTTCACTCTTTAAACATATTTACTTTTATACAGTCACTGTGTCAGCTTCTCTCAAAGCACTTTTCGTTGTGATTGAGAATCGTTTTAACGCCCAACTTAGCAGCTTTCTGGAGCCCACTTGTATGTGCCCCCCAAAAATACACCCACACCAACCCCCCTCCACACACACACACACACATCTGTTTCCAGTATGAGTTTCTGTCCCCACAAAGGGGCCTGTTTAGTTCCAAAATGGAGGACTGGAGTTCCCACTGAGCCCCATCTGCAGAACTCAGAACTCAGGCTCTGCTCCTGCTGCTGTGCTGAGTGTACCTACATGGCTGAATCTGGTGAGTCAGCAGTTTTATCAGCCAGAGCTCAGAATATTCACTGCTGCCTTCAGGACACCAAGTACGAGCCCAACCACACCGAGGCTGCCCAGCATTTGCTTTTCAGCACATTTCATATCCAGGGGTTTTTCATCAACAACAAATTGCCAAGACAATAGGAAAATGTTTCAGTCTCTGCTTCAGTTTTGTCTTTCAGACGGCAAACAACAAATATCTAAAAGAATCAAACGGACTATCAAATAACTAACCAACAGAAAATATACCTGCAACTATTTTGATTCTCAAATAATTACTAGAGTGCATCTTCTAACGTACCTACAGAGCATTTACTGCTCTTCTAATGTGACAATTCAACAGTTTTCACTATTTTCTTTTGTTGATCAGTGGAGTAGCTTCAGGTTTTGGTGGGTTGGTCGGACAATATAAGAAATTTGTCACATTTAGACTATTTTTGACTGATTGAGAACATTTTAAACACTAAATAACAGGGTTTTAAAAAAATATAACTGAACTATTAAAGAAAAATGATCACTATGTGCAGCTGCTCTCACAGCAGAATGTGCGTTGCAGCATAAATACAGGTAAATGACGACTGCGCCACACTGACTGTGTTTGATCACAGAATGGATTAGTTGTAATGCCATACAGCCATATGTGATCAGGCTTAAATCACTGTCTCCTACTGCCAAAACACAGGACAGACATTCACAGTCAGCCAGCAGATTGCTGACATACTTTAGTTGCCCTTGAGCAAAATGTTGAAGTTTAATCAGCTTGCAGGAATAACTGACTGATGACCTGAAAAGATCAAGGCTGTAGAATGTGTGCAGGCTCACATTCATCCACTATCAGTTGATTAAAACATGCCAGTTGTGTGGACGTGTTGCTGCACTGAGCTCGTCCAGCCTCCCACTGATAGAACTGATCAAACCAGTTGATGTTGAAACGAGCTGATCTGACTAGAAATCCAGCCAGTCTCCGTCCATCACACTTTACCAGCAGCCATTGTGTTTGTTTGGTGTGTAGCAGCAACACAACAGCTCACAACGTCCGACTGAAAACCCACGTTTCTATAATACAGCCTATTAATATTCAAAGGCACTTGTGTTTCATCGCCCAGTGTTTATTTGGGCACCAGCGGGACTCATTTCATTACGTTCACTGCTTCCAGCTACGAGGCACTTTGGTGTGAATTGCGAGAGCAGCCACGACAAAAAAGCATAATTCTAACTCATTTAAATGGTGAGCTATTTAATCGATTTAAATGGAATAACACACGTGACGATCCCTTGGTGTCCGTTCACCTTGTCGAGCTGCAACACTTTAAAGTCAGTTTGTGACCAGCGGCTGTGAACGTTTTTAAGTGGAGTTCGGTTTGAAGCAACTTACCACGAAATATCCGAGGACACATCTGGCTTCTCTGTTCCACAATGACGTTTAACTCGGTCGGGAAACGACAAAGAAGCCTTCAGTGAAACACAGTTGGGAGAAACCAGCCTCGGGTTCGTTCAAAGGATCCACTGCGCGGCTCGTTGTCTTCCTTTTTGTTCCGTCGCGACTTTAAACTGGTTCAGTTGTGCTGCTTCCTGTTCTGGCTGCTCTCATCGGAGCTGCTCTGTCCGGTGACTTCTCCAGAACACTGCTGTTAGAACAACGTTCCTTCTACCGGCAGGGCCACTGCTGCTAGTTAACCTTCACCGAATATTCTACAAACAAACAACTCATACCGGACAGTCTGTCAAGGTCGCTTTAACAGGAACACGGCTGCTCCGGTCACAACTTTCAAAATAAAACAATGATTGACGTCATTTTTTCCTGGAGGTCTGGGGAGCATCGGCTACACCTGACTGCCACCTAGTCAAGCTTCTTAGCACATTCTTGATGTTTACAGAACTTTTACCAAGCATCCCCCGTAATTTCTAAAACATTTCACAAATGTTTGAAGAGCATTTTCCGAGGATCCTTCAAGAAATGTTCAGGGAAACCTTAGGGAATGTTGCCTAAAAAAATTTCTGAAGATCTTTTGAAGGTTTGACAATATAACCTTTAGGGAACCCTCAAGGAACACTCCTAACTTATACCCAATAAGTTAGTAATTATATAGCAATTAATCAACAATCCACAGTAAATTAGGTCAATTGATTTCATATTATTTTGGGCGAACTGACCCTTTAAACAGACCAACAGTGTATTTAATGTTAAAAATTAACAAACAATCATTAAAATAACTACAGCTACTTTTGATATCTTAAATAATGTTTTCAGTATTGCTAAGCTACCTGTTGCCATATTTTGGTGGCTACGTTAAAGATTAGACAGCTCATGTTCTATATGGGAAACATCCATATGTGAAATAAAGTCAGTCTTGTAATTAATCTGCTGTGTGATGGTGAAATAGACACGTCTGTGATAAAAACGTTCAACATGACAGAAAAAATATTTCAGACTTTTCTAAACTGATCAGACTTTAACCAACAGTAAAATGAAACATCCAGACAGCTGTGATGGAGCTCAAGACTCAACCTGAGGACAACTGCTATGTAACAAATGATTTAACTGCACCTGATAAGCTGACTCTATGTGCCTGTTAGATCCTAATCGATCCTGTTTCCATGTCAGGATCATTTTTAATTACAAAAAAAATTAAAAATTGAGGAAACTGCTATTGTTCCACGTCTGTGAATGTGCACAACTCTATTTGGATCTTGCTGCCCAGCAGACTTTTTCAAAATGTCATCTGACAGTATGTGTATTAATGGTGGATTCATGTCTCAATAGAAGTCAATTGCACAGAGAATGAGGTAAAACTCACAATGGAGAATTTTGTATGTGCCTGTCTGTCAACTAAAGGCCCACCAGTTTTGGCCATCGGTCTGTGTGTGATGTTTTTGGAGTGTTGGAATTGGTTCAGGCAGACAGAGACTGAAAAGCAAGTGCATCATAAAAAGCTTGAGAATTGACAAACCTGCCATGATAATGTATTGTTTATTAGCCTCTCTGAAAATATATTTTTGAAATTGTAATCCTGCCAATCCACATTTTTACTAAACGTATTGGGAATTTAATCTACAATTTAATATTATGAGGTGTTGCTTTAACTGTGTGAAGAGCCCTGGGACGACTTATGGTATAATCTGGTGCTGTATAAATAACATTAAACTGAATGAACACAATTTTGGTTCATTTCCTTCTTTTATATGCTAATTGCAGCCATAGATATGTACAATAAAGGCCTTTATCATACATATCTATGATTGCAAACGTTTAGGCCTATGCAAAACTTCTGACATTATAAAACCAATCACATTCTAAATATCAGAAAACTTGGATTGATTAAGGGTGAAATGCTCAACTTCATTAACAAGTCAGTCTTTTATTCTTAAGACCTTGTACTTCCGGTATTGTTCGGGCTAACTGCTATAAATTTGACGCAGATTTCTGTCCCTGCTCTCTTCTCTGGCTGTTGTTTGCCAGCTTGGTTCGCTGCTGAGGAGCGCCCTCTGCCGACCATCTGGGTGAACTGTGTCCATGGCAGTGTTACAGCTGCTTCACTCTGTGAACATGATCCACAGTAAACAGTGTCAGTGTTTGGTTCTAATTCAGACGGATGACAGCTTTTCTCCAAGCTGCAAATCAGGGAGACGCAACTGATTTAACACATGCACACAATTGTTTATGTCCTACACCTGTATTGATTTTAAACTTTTCTTTTCTGTGTATATCCTGTAATACTCATGCCATTATTAACCATCAATAAATGCGCAGTTATACTATACATGCATTCATTTCGTTATTTACTTTCCCTTTTTGCACACTTTGTCTTGTACATGTTATTTAAAATGGATATGCTTTCCTGAAGGTTCCACGTTCATCTGTTCAAACAATTTTACACAAGTACAAACACCATGGGAATGTCCAGCTATCATACTGCTCAGGAAGGAGACAGATTCTGTGTCCCAGAGATGAAGTGTTTGGGTGAGAAATGTGTGTATCAACCCCAGAACAAAAGTAAGACCTTGTGAAGATGATGCTGAAGCTGGTAAGAGAGTGTCATTGTCTACAGTGAAACCAGTCCTGTGCCGACATGGGCTGAAAGGCTACTCAGAGAGGAAGAAGACATTACTCCAAAAGCAACATTAAAAAAAAAGCCAGATTACAGTTTGTAGATGCACACAGGGACAAAGACCTTCACTTTTGGTGACATGTCCTGTGATCTGATGAAACTAAAATTGAACTGTTTGGCCAAAATGATCATCGTTACATTTGGAGGAAAAAGGGGGAAGCTTGCAAAGAGAACATCATTCCAACTGTGAAGTACGGGGGTGGCAACATCATGTTGTGGGGGTGGTTTGCTGCAGGAGGAACTGGTGCATGTCACAAAATAGACGGCATCATGAGGAAAGAACATTATGTGGAAATATTGGAATCAGCCAGGAAGTTAAAGCTTGGGCACAAATGGGTCTTCCAAATGGACAATGACCTTAAGCATACAGCCAGATTAGTTACAAAGTGGCCTAAAGACAACAAAGTCAATGTTTTGGAGTGGCCATCACAAAGCCCTGATCTCAATTACGTTAAAAATTTGTGGGCAGAGCTGAAAATATACATACACGCAAAATACACACCAGTGTTCATATTTGGTCAAACATTATTTTGGTCCACAAACTTCTGGTAAACTTCTATTTGTACCTTTAACCACCCTACTTGGCAGAATTGGTACAGTTTAACTAAATTTGTTGTCTTTCTGACACAGACTTGTTTCTTCATTACAGTCCACAGGTTTTTTATGGGGTTTAAGTCAGGACTCTGGGGAGACCAGTCAAACATCCATCCATCCATTATCTATACACCGCTTAATCCTCACGAGGGTCACGAGTATCCCAGCCAACTTAGGGCGAAGGCAGGGGACACCCTGGACAGGTCGCCAGTCCATCGCAGGGCCACACTGAGAGACAGACAACCAAGCACACTCACATTCACACCTACGGACAATTTAGAATCACCAATTAACCTCAACATGTTTTTGGACTGTGTGGGAGGAAGCCGGAGAGAACCCACGCTGCACGGGGAGAACAGGCAAACTCCACGCAGAAAGATTCCGGTGCCCCCACCGGGACGCGAACCGGCAACCTTCTTGCTGCGAGGCAACAGTGCTACCAACTGCGCCACCCTGCAGCCCACCAGTCAAACAATTTTATTCTATTCTGATAGCACTTTTGATGTGTGTTTGGGTTCATTGTTCCAACTGCATCAAGACCCAACCTTTTGGCTGATGGTTTTAAGTTTTCCTGAAGAATGTTGAGGTTATCCTCCTCCTCCTGTTTACTTTTTTTTTTTTTTTTGCAAAGCACCAGTTCCACTGGCACCAAAACAGCCCCAGAACATAATACCACCACCACCATGCTTGATGTTAGGTTTGGTGTTTGTGGGGTTAAGGACCTTTTCTCCTTCCGACATATTTCTGGTCATCGTGGCCAAATAGCTTTCTTTATGTTGCATCTGAGCACATAAGTTTGACCCAGAAGGTCTTATCTTTGTTCACGTGATCTGCTTTGGAGCCTTAAGGTGTTGCTTCAAGAGGAAGAGCTGTCTTCTTGCATGGCAGCCTCTCAGCCCATGACAATGTAAAACATACTTGACTGTAGACGGTGAGACTTGTGTTCCTGCAGTTTCTTATTTATTGCATACCTGCTTTTTGGTGATTCTTGGTTGACTCTTGACCATCCTAACTAATTGTCTCTCAGCAGCAGGTGATAGTTTATGTTTTCTCCCTAATCTTGGCAGTGACACAACTGTACCATGCACTTAAAACTTGCAAACAATTGTTTACACAGTTGATTTTGGGATCTGTGGCGGCTTTGAAATGGCTGTAAGTGACTTTCCTGACTTGTTGAAGTCAGTGATTTCCTTTATCTGATCTTCCTGAGCTCCTCAGACTTTCCCACTGTAGTGTTTGTGGCAGAGTCCAGTAAGTGTAGTCAATAGAATATAGAAACTGGCTCAAAGGAGTCACCAGCTGTAGTCAATCGTAATCACTCATGAGAAGATTAATATAGCTTTCTACATCACCAACACCTATCATTCAAGTTGCTGTTTGCATATTTTTGACTCAGAACATTTTGTCATATTTCCAGAAGACCTATAATAAATCTGTGAAAAAACAAAATGCATGATTGTCATTTTTTGTTTGTTTTGGTAACAAAGATACATGTGTTTCAATGATTTCATCATAGAAAATTACAGGAGTCATTGGAAACTCAAGACTACCCTGATGTACATGGTCTTTACCATGAGGTGTATCTAAACTTTGTTCATGACTGTATATTAGGGCTATTTTGATTACAACTCTATATTTGCTTATGTTTCCCTTTTTCTGTCCAGTCGTCATTGCTGTTTCTGTATAGAAGTCTATATGGTACGTTTGTCTGTCTTTGTACCATCATCTTCCTTGTGTCTCATCTGTGATATCGTAATGTTTCTTTGCCTTTGCACCTATGAAAAAGACAACAGAGTCTTACAATCTTTTTTAGCACAACCCTTCTCTAAGCCCAGTTTATCTCAAGAATCATTAACCTCACAAAAACAATGTGGGGGTTGCAGGGTGGGGGGTCTTTCCAACTTAGTAGCTTTGCCCAGAGATAGAGAGAAAAAATAGGACACAAAATGAATCCACATGTCTTTTTTTATCATTGACCACAACACATTACCTTTCATGTCAGCAGTCACGTCCAGTTGCAAACACAAGCTACCTGTAACAGTTTAGGTAGTAAATATGTTTTCACGAAACTAAAGAAACACAAGAATCATGGAATAATGAAAAACATATCCAATATCAACAACCTTGATTTTCATACTAGTATGCTTGGTACTGTATGTAAATGTTGCCCCTGTTTGAATGGCAGCGATGTTCCAGTACGGCTCAATACACTTCAAATTGTCACCTTATTATTGGGTGTGGTGACTGTACAGATGGACTCATTTTCAGGAAATGCTGCAAGCTAGGATCTTTTTTTTCAAAGAATTGACAAAGATGTGTCATGATGATTTGCCAAATTTCTATTGCAACTGGAAGGGACTCTGTACAATTACACTTTGGACATTTTAGGGGGTAAATTCATTAATTCACTGCATGTGGTTTACAATTAAGTCACAGAATGAGCACAGGGAAGCTACAGATCACAGCACAGAGGATATGATATCTTCTTATCAAGAACAGCTCTGTCCTCCTCTCAATACAACACTGATTCATGGTCAGCAAGGAACAAATCAATACATCCATCTGAGCCAAACACCGCTTTTAAAAGCTACAATGTGATTGTAAATAATGTTGGTATCATGATATGCAGCTGAACCCAAACACTGTTAACTTAATTTTTTTTAAAAATGATTGTAACATGCCATCATAAAAATTAAAGAAAATTTGTGATTTCTGGATCACAGCTGATCTTTCTGCAATTTCTATGAGGATGATTCTGCAAAGGTTTTTCCAGTGAAAAATTACTCCAGGCTCTGTATAGACACAAAGTATCTGTGCTGCATGTACAACTGAACTGGTTCATGTTGTTTGGCCCCTAAACACTGAGACAGTCTGGGTCTTGGTCTTCCAGTAGAACTGTGGTGCAGTTTGTCAGGGGTGGCAGTTAATCAGAGCCTGCATTTATCCAGTGACTCAGGGTGGGAGATCAGTCTATACAGACCAGCTGTTCCCACAGTGATGCACATGTGATCCTACTATTAGGACTAAGAGAATTTTTTTTTATAAGCTTTCTAAGTGACGATCAGTGCTAATTAGTAGGAGAGCTGCAGAGGTGTGGTAACTAGGAGAAGCTTTTAGGAGACTGAGCTCAGAGATCTGCACACATTCTATGTGATGAGAAATGAGAACTCTGATGACTTAAAGCTTTTAGCAAAAACAGAATTATTTTTATGGTGGATCAGAGAAGATATCGCAAATAATCCAACACACCTCCTTGCATTTTAAAGTGATGTGACTGGATCTTGGTTCACCTGAGTCAAACTTACAGTAAAATAATTTTTTATGCCATTTAAAACACATTAACCTAATTATGACATTATTAGTAAATCTAATTCACATGTATATACATGAAACTACATTCGATTAGTTACATGTATTAACTGACCATACACAAGAGGTCTACATGTGTTTTGTTCAGTTTGACTTTAGCCATGTCTCATCTAACTTTTACAGTGATACACATGAGATTCTGAGGTGTTTGATAAATGCAGGCCCTGTCAAAGAATGGGAAATGACACTGAAGTTTAAGTGCATAAGGACAGACCACCATCAAAGTCACACAGTACAAAAAGGGCATTATTATGTCTCTAAGCTGACCGGATGGTCATTTACCAGAACTCCGGCCAGTTGAGTCCATAAAACTTTAGTTTATCAGCCCTGTTTGGTTTGTATGAAAACTAAATATGACTACAGAAAATACAATGTAGATAAAGGATTGTATTGTCTCTGCTAAAATCATATCCATTATCAAATATAATTGATAATGGATAACTGATGGAAGATACATGAAGGTGGTGGAGGAAATGTCCTGACAATGGTGATAAAGACAGCAAGTGCTCAGTGCTGTGCTTTAGCAGGAGCAGAGTAAAGCCTGACACTGAAAAAACCTTCACAAGGATGACATTACACAGTAGCTTGTACACTATAAAGTTTCACAAATTGCCACTGGAGGGTGACAGAGGGCTACACTGGGGCTCATGCACACCCACACAAACACAGAGAGGAGGGAGAGGAATGCTGGAAACACTGTTGATTCCTGTTGGATGGACTGAGGCCTGATCACTCGTCAAATCGCCCCTCCAGGATGCTCTCGAACGAAAAGGGGACAAACTTGAAGCCCTGGCCCGAGTAGAACTTGTTCTGGAACTCCACCCTGTAGGTAAAAACCAAGATGGAGAGAAGTGTTGTTAGTTAAATATATAAATACAAACACTGAAGGCTTATAGCCCTTCTGGTTTCAAGCATTCATATCCTGGGATTTCTTATATTCCATGTAAACCATTTTTGGAATATCTTTACAATTCTTGCTTATTGCTTATTGTTTATCAATCATGCTTTCCTAGTATTTGGGGTTTGTTGATTAGTTCCACAGTTACTTCTTTAAGATGGATTCCCTTTATATCAAACCATTTGCCTGATGAAGGTCTAGCACAGAAATGTTGTGAATAAATGTAGTTTTGCAAGTTAGACAGGGTGTAGGAGTCTTTTTTTTTTTTTTTTGAACTGTTGGTCTTTTCCACTTTTGCCTGAAAATGTTGTTGGACAAGGTGGTTCACAAACTACTTTGCTTCAAATATACTGAACAGTTATAGTCAACACCTTAGACTAGCAACAGTGTGAAGCTCTAAGGTTTGGTGTAAAACAAAAACAAATTGTATGAAGGATGAAACGTGAAGTTTGTATCAGTTATGGAGAAGTACATGGAAAAGTGAAATATGAAAACTCTTCTGGTTTAAGCATCAGTGCAAATGATTAGCAGTTATGTTGCAAAGTATTCTGTTCTTGGATAAAAAGTGAAAGGTACAAGGTTGTTAACATATTTGTTCAGGTGTGGTCTGAAAAGCTGGTTTTTAGTTTGTGGTGGAAGATGGACAGTGACTCTGCTCTCCCAACTTCAGTGGGAATCATATATCCACACAGGGGTCACAGGCTCCTCTGAGTGATCTGATGGCTGATAGTCCACAGACAGAGAAGCACAGCTGTTGGGCCTGATGGAGCGTTTGACTACGTCTTGGAGGTAAGAAGGAGCAGCTCTATTCACTGCCCAGCAGGGAAGCAACAGCACCATTCTGGATTAGCTGCAGGACTCCACAAAGGAGGAAGTTGCTGTTGTTCAAGCAGAAGATGACAAGTACTCCAATGAGGACCAGGATGTCTCTCTGGTATGGAAGAGGAAAATCCTCCAGATGCTATAAAGGAAGATTCACCAGGAGTGGAGGACAGAGGTCACCAGTTTACTAGCCATAGTCATTCCTAGGCTCCAGGTCTCAGTGATCAGATGTTTACTCTTGGTAGAATACAAACTCAGGTCATCCAGCAGTTGACATACAACTATCTGTTGCTGAAACAAATTGGTGGATCAACCAACCAGCAGCAGTACCATCAACACATTAAAAAATGACTTCTAATTCTTGCTATGTTATCATTTCTACAAGAAGACCAAAAAATGTGTCTAGAAATAAAACAACAGTGTTTTTCCTGCCTCCCTAGATCTTTGATACCTACAGCTTTATGTTCAGATTACAGCAACAGACTGAGTGACTGAACTGACTCATTATTCAACCAGATCTGCTCTGCTTCACCCATCTGTCATACTAACAGACCCACCAAGTTTCTAATGATACGCTTTTTTAAGGCTTAAGGAAAACACCAGCAAATGCAATGTTGGAATATTCATCGTATTTTTATCAAGATGAAAACAACCACGGATGGAAAAATGAATTTGGCTTTTACGTCTTTAAGGCAGGGCACATTGCATTCAAGTAAGTCAAAGTTAAAACCTCCCACACAACAGTACCGGTCAGCCATCTGACCAGCTGATAAAACATAAAAAATGAAGATGATAAAATCATCCCACATCAAAGGTACATGACAGTGACTGGTTGATTCGGTTTGATTGTAATAAAATGTCAGCATTGTTAGCCAGGGAACAAACACTGACTCACTCTACCTAAAGCTTGTGTGTGCAGGATTCACCACAGACTGATTCACTCCGGCAAAACAAGAGTACTGTTTCCATGGGTTGCCTGGGAGACGAAGCTTTGAGCCTGTTTGTTATGCTACTGATGTAAGAATTTGAACATATTTAGCTAATTTTACACTGTGCACAATGTCACCAACTAGTAAGATATAGTGCCTTAATAGTTGGCTCTATACAGGTTTATAAGTTGTAAATAATGACTTAATTAATGCTTAATAAGTCATCATTCAATTAAACTCAACTGATCAGCTACAGTCATTGTTGCTCAGTTGCCAACCCTATTGACTGTTTTGTTTCATTTGACCTCTTTTGTATTAAACCCCACTGTACCCATCAGCGCCCATTTCTGACTATAACAAGCTGGATGTCCGACAACAATCAAACCAGAAGCTTAGCAGTGTGATGGTGGGAAGTGAAGCCTTTCTGAATCTCTGAACTGTTTTCACTTTGATTGAGGTTGAATCAATCAATCACAGACTGTTACCTGTTACAGTTAATTACTGATTGTATGAGAAACTGATTCTATTGCTTTCTGCCAGTGACCAGTAGTGAAATGATTGCTCATGTTGTATCTTTCAGTGTTATTACATTTAATGTATTTTAGTATGTTCAGAATTTGCCTATAAATGTGCATCTAGTGGTAGTATAATGTATTCTCAAATCCTGACAACCTCTGATGACTTCATTTAAGAGGAAAAAACTAAGAGTGGACTCTGAGTTCCTGCTGGTTCCTGGCCTCTGCGAGCGAGGGGAGTGCCCAGGAATGTCTCCCAGCCGTGGCAAATATTTGGCCTGCCAGAGCTGTGAGAGGGCAACACTTAGAAAGAGGAAACAAATGAGTGATCCTTTCATTTGCCTCTCCACACAGTGGAGTGGAGTGGAAGTGGAAAAAATACCTGTACCAAACACGCACAACGCATGACATACTGCTGTGTGTGTATGAGTTTGTGGAAGCAGCTCATCAGCATGTGTGTGTGAAGAGTGAACTTCAGAGCAGACTGTCCAGGTTCACTGCTGTTTATTTGAACATGACTATTTCCATTCACTCACCTCTGTGAAAAATACTCCACCACTCTTTTTAACCTTAGCAGAGACTTGCTGGACTGACGTGCTGCTGCTTTATTAACAAAATGCCTTACACTCAAACAGTTACACATACGAGGGCCTGGGAGCTGTCTAGGACAACTGTAGCCTCTCACCGTGGGCCAATGACAGTTTATGCATTCCCTTATATTTAAAAAGATCATTTATAACATCACTGAGGCCATTCTGTTTGGACTGAGGTGTGACTCCTACACTCGTGGACATTCTTTCTCTACAGCTCACTCTTTCACTCCATGTTCATGATATTTTATCTTTCAAATTCAAATTCCAAATTTTGATTTATTGTCAACATCTCATAAAACCAACAATGTGTTCTTCTATCGCTTGATAGTTTCTGACTTCTCTAGCTTGTATGTGGCTCTCAGACAGCCCACAGATGTACAGTTGATGCACAGTAGTGTTTTTAAGAAAAGGGTCAGTATATGAAAACGCAGCTTGACACATTTTTATTTTTATATATATGTATATATTTTTTTTTTACCAAAACTCTACTCAAACAGGAGGAAATACCAGTAGTTCATTTGTAGGGGACTATATTGAGCAGCGGACTGATCCACAGCTAGGGCCCTAGGTTGGTATTTCTGGCGACAGTGATAGATGTTTAAAAGATAGACAAGAAGAAAAAGATATATCAGGTTTTGATACATAAACCCAGTGTGGGATGCCTTGTCCTGCACAGATTAAATATCATAGCATCCATCCAACTTGGTTGAAAACTGGTGAAAACTAGTTGGCTGAAAAACATTCTCTGCAAATCTGTCAGCCAGGCTTTATATTCAAGATGTTCTGTGTCCTCTGTAAAATTCTGACATAAACATAAATTAGCATTTATAACATTTTGGGTTGAGAAGACACATTTGTAAGAACCACAGATTAGTTGTACAACATAACGTGAGGGGAAAAACCTAAATGTTATTTATCGAGTATAAATGCTGGTTTTAAATGTTGGTTTTGAGCTGGTTCTAAGTAATTAATTCAAAATTGTAGGCCAACAGTAAACATCTGTGAAGGACGCCTTTGAAAATGCTACTCATCCCTGAAGGTATAAACAACAGCAAGAAAAAGATGAAGGCGTTTTCTTTTCCTTGCGTAATGCTATGTAACTGGATCGCACAGTAAGAATGAGGTGTATACAACAAAGAATGTGGAAAATATTGCAAAGCACCAACTCAACACCTGTTGCCAAGGCATAAACTCATGTCACATCATGCATGCAGTTTAGAAAAGGCAGCTAGCTCATAGCAGCTTCGAAAGAGCACTATCATTTCTTTAATGTATTTTGCCCTGAGATTTCTTGTTGTTGCATCCACTTGATCTGCCACTAATAAAGGTTCTGCAGCTGATGATGTGAAGAAAAATGTGTGTTGTCTGGCCTGAAGTCAACCTTTAGCTTTTCAATCTTGCACATTCCGGAGTAATCAAGTTAATATTGTCTCTGGTTCAACTCAGCTGATTACATCTACTTTCATAACAGTCTGCTCTACAAGAAAGCTCCATGGCCTCCAGCTAGAACATACAAGAGGTCCATGTGTACAGCAGACAGGTGGGACTATAAAACACACACAGGAGGTTTGTTGGAGGAGTGAAACAGTCTACATAAAAGACAGCCATGCAGTATTTGAAAGGAGTTCAGATCACTTTCCACTGGTTTATATGAGTCAAAGAAAAACACAGGCCAGATAGCTTACTCTTCCTCCACCAGTCAGCCCTGACAGCAGCAATTAAACATTAACATTTATCCATCTACCGACCATGATGTAAAGCTCAGTGGTAACAGCATGAACCACAGCAGAATGACTTAAGGAAATAAACTTGCTGCTTTCATCTAATAGGTTTAAATGTGATGATCAGTGACACAGAGATCCGCCTCTATTTTGCCACAGATGAGCCAGAAATACATGGAGAGTCCCAGAGAACACACAGAAATGTCTCAGTGCCACACAGATAGCAGACAGGTCAATGAACTACAGTAGATGTCTTAATAACATAATTCCTTAACTCCATACATACTGTGAACACCAGCTCAACGTCACGGAGACGGAACCAAACTAACTGACATTATGTCAAAGATGTCGTGGCTGCGGCACACACAACGCCCTGATGCTTGAATGAGTCAGAAGTCCTATCAAAAAACAGCAGAACTCACCCTATCTGATGATACTATTCTTTTCTCTCAGATTTTGATTTACACAGTTGTCACAACACCATGTCCCCTGACCTGACACTTATCTGTATTACAAAGGTTACTAATACAGCTGATGCCACATTTTCAGGAAGTTTGCTGAGATTATAATGTCAAAGTGTTAATTTGCAGCAAAACATGTTTTAACAGACCATCTGCATGTAGGACCACTGCAGGTAAGGCCAAACAATAGATTGTGTCCATACTATATTTACAAGTTGGATGGAAAGACTCACTTTGAAGAACTCTTGTCAGCACTGACTTTACATGTTGAAAAACGTTGTTACGATGTGTAACTAATTTACTATGATATGTACTCTGTGCTGAAAAGAGATGTTTCTTGGGATCTTGAACATTTATTTTCCAGCACTTCCACAGCACCTCCTCCTCACAGCCCACACAGTAATTAATCTGTGCACATATCTCAGAATAGTCAGTTAATTGCTATCTTCTAACAAGTCATAATTACTCCTGATACTTGCAGAAATATGTTTTATTACCTGTTATTATTGCACAGTTGTATCTGACAATGGTATCACATAAGTTAGATATGATAGCACAAAGTACTATCACCTTGCAGTGGTAATTATATATGCCTCAGTGTTTGACTTATCTTCTGTGTCAGTACAGCTTACACTGGTGCAGGTTGGACTCGCTGGGTGGAGGTGGTGCTAGGAGGCGATGGAGCTAGAGGGTGTGTGGGGTTATCTGGAGTTCTGTACAGTCTCAGTTTAGTAAACCACCTTAGGAACGTCTTGTCTTCCAGCATTCCTTAAGTGCACGTAAAACTGAAGAACTGCAGCTTTGGCAGAGATACTTGGTGAAGGTGAAAAATGAAAGCTTGCTCTGTGTATGTTTTCTATCAATGTGGAACTCAGTGTGTGGACATATGGGAGTGTCTGCTTTCTGCATGAGCTCTCTACAAGTAATGTGTATGTGCTCCCCATGAACATGTGTATTTACACTACACATATAGTAGTATGCATATAAGTTGTAAACATGTGGGTACTTTGTCAATACAGATCATATATATTGTGTATGTGTGTGTGTGTTTCTAACCAGTGCAGACGCAGGGCGTGCAGGAAGGCTGACAGCCCCTCCATGACGAGGAGAATAGCCACAGTGAGAGTGGCAAAGGCGGAGAAGATGATTGACAGGCCAAAGAACCCACCCCCGCTCCTGGAGGACAGACCTAGGTGCATCACCATGGACCAGAGCACCTCTGACAGCTCTGCACACACACAATGGTGACAACAACAAGGTTTACACCAAATTCACATTCTTACACTGTAGATATAGACACAAGGCATCACTGAATCACTAAATCCAGCATTACTGAACAATTGTGTATATTATAAAATAGGGGATAGTGAAGGTGTTCATCTGGAAGCTCTTCATATAATGTTTTACAGAACATGAATCATAAAACAAGCACGTCTGGTGGTGCCTGCCTGTACTTACGAGCATGAGCCAGGCTGAGGGCCCAGAGGCGGAGGTAGGAGGCTGTGTTGGAGATGCACCCCAGACAGTACTCTATGGTGTGGATAGCCTGGTGGACAGCTACGTCACCAAAATCAAACTGTGATAAAAAAAAGAAAAAAAAAGACAAGAATGTTAACACACAGCATGAGCCCTGTTTTATGGATACTTTGTATGTTTCTACATACAAATTCTAGATTCTAGTGACTTGAACATCTTATTTAAAAACACAGGACAAGCTGCAGTACAGCATTTAACAACCCAGCCAAAATTTTGTACAATTTTTGGTTTAACCAGAAGATAATCAGTCAGTACTTTTATATGCACAAAAGAAACCAACTCAGACAAATCATGCTAATCAAGTACTTGACTTTTGTGTTCACATTACATGCACTGTAGAAACCTGGTTACTGGTAATCCACATGTACATACAGTGAATCACACAGCAAGAGGCCCTAGAATCTCCTCTGCATTGCTCAAGGGCACATCAGTAGTGGTTGTAAGGTGCAAATCATGCTCTCCCTGGTCCTAGCTGTCCAAAGGTTGAAGTGATTCTCTGTGATAAACTGGATAGTGAACAAACAAGACTCTTGCTGACCTCACATCCATTCTGTTTTAATCTGAAACAGACTTTAAAACTGCTTTTGTCTGTTCTGCCTTTAATAGCAACTGTGTCTATATTCTCTGTGGTTAGAACAAGTACATTGTTGACAGTGATTAAGTATTGGAGTTCCCAGATCAAATCACATCAGGTCAGATCAGAAGAAAGGTCAAAACTGCAGCAGTGGTCATGATCAAAAAAATGGAACAGTACGTTACATTGATCAGCCACAACTTTAAAACCTGACTCTAAGGTGGTGTTTGGCACTGAGACACTGACAGTAGATCATTTGTTTCCTGCGGTTTAAGGGATGGAACTACAGTGGATGAGGTTTGTTTAGGGGCACTCCATGGATGCTTGGTGAGATTAAAATTCTTGAGCACTTTTTGGGGCGTGGAGGGTTTTACTTGGTCTGCGATAATGTTTAGGTTGATGGTGACATCTACAATAATGACAGAACTCAGGGGTTCCCAGCACAACATCGCATTGAAGTGAGATGATCAATATTATTTACTTTACCTGTCGGTAAGTTTAATATCCTGGCTGATCTGTGTTTGGTGTCGGTTATTAGACCGCCTCTGCCTCGCAAATGTTCTTTTTTGTTACGGCATGTTATACATTTTTTTTATGACCATCCAGTCCCCAAACTGGAATACCTATGCAACATGTAAACTGACCATGACATCAGACAAATCAGTGGACTGCACCTTCAACAATACACTGTTTCTTTAGTCTTCAGCTTTGCTCCAATCACTAATGTGTGTTTTCTGTCTGAATCTATGTTTTAACTATTTGAAAATGGTTACGCATATGTAATCATAGCTTATCAACTGTGACGTGTAAAACAAACACTTTACATTCGACTTAACACTGAGACACCATTATCACACAACTCTGCTATTAGAAATGAGGCCAATCTAAACAAATGTACTGGCAGAATGGCCTGAACTATGGAAATTACTTGAAATGGAACTTCTGTTATCATTCAAATGAGCAGTCGCTTTGGCCTTTGACTCCTACCTGAGACTCAACTTTGATAAAATGCAAAGACATCTGCTTGTTTTTTTTTAGTTTGTTTCTCATTCTTTCCCAGCAGGATCACAGCCTAGGGCCTTGTTTGTGTATTGTAAGGCCAACGCAGTTCCTCCGTTCTCTCCATCCTGGAGCAAGACTAGCCTTTCCTGTACGAGGGGGGCCGGGGGTGTATATTGCTCTACATTGCTCTTGTTAGATTTGGCTTGGCTCTTGCCCGTTTTCCTCTTTCCATGCTTTTGTTTTGTCCTTGGACTCGTGAAATAGAGTTCATGGAAGCAGCACTCATTGTTTCCATTCAAAGGATCTCCGACAGAAGGGGCTAATGAAAACAACACTAACATGCCAAAGCATTAGCCTAAGCAAAATACACAGAGCAGTGAATCTAATTAGAAATATTATGGCAAACATTTCAGCTGAGCAGTTATTTGGTTTCACAATGTATTTTTAACAATGTACAAATTTACAAAAGGGTATACTTTGGATCTGACATTAAGTGGGTAAAATATTTGCTCAGCCAAAAGACTGCATCAGTATCCACATGCTACCTTTAGACTAATTTACACTCGATACAATGGCAGAAGAAAACGGAGAAAAACTCAGAAAAGTGCTGAGTTTAAATCAGAGCAAACCTTAAAAGCAGTGCTGCAGTGCTGGAGACCAAGACATATTTCAAGTGCAGAGCTGCTGCACTCAGATTCATTTCAGTCTTCTGGATTTGTCTCAGTCTTGTGGGTGTTGACTAAGGCTCTTAAGACTGTAAGCACTTAGACTTAAACTTGCTTTGAGTGTTCTGATTCTGACCTGACTGAATCAAAACACCTTCTGACTGTGGCTTGTTTTGGCCTTGTGGATGCTTTGACAGAGACTTCTCTCAGTCTCATGGGTGTTTTCATTCAGACCTGTCTCAAAGGTATTTTTGAGAGATAATAATTATACAAAACATACAACAAATTATTTAAGTAACACTTTTCAAGTTTGGACAAGGTGTTTTCCAGTGCCGGAGACAGCATAGGATTTGACAGCTTTGAAGTAGATTTGTTCTTGTTCTTGTAGCTATTTTGACTAAAACTTGTTTCTGTTGCATACGTGTTTTGTCTTAGACTTCTCTCTGACATTCATCTTGCTGGCGCCACCAGTCACTTATGACTATCACACATGTTTGAACGACAGCTGGCTATGATTGGACTGGGTCCAACATGTTGTTGTGCCAAGCCACATTAATAAATGATAACCTGCAAATATCTAATTTAACACAGTGACCATTTTAAAAGCCAAAAACTGTGTATAGTCTGATCATAGAATGAGGATACTGAATAAGAAATGTCTTGTTTGGTCTGCTAATCTCAAACCTATTCATACTCTAGACTAGTCTCAGACATGACTCAGAAGGTTTTGACAACCATTTCTGTTCAACTGTAAGTTTATACTACAATTTATTCAAGCAGTTTCACTTTCAAATACCTACATTTCAACCTGTCTTTTCCGTGACTGCATCACATCTGTGTTTTTCACTTGTACAACAAACTTCAAGACTCAAAAGTCTCCCTTGGGCCATTGATTATTATTTAGAAGCCTTAAATGGTTTAGATGTAACTCTCTAAAATGCGCAGATCAATGAAGTCCCTGCCTCTATTACCACTCACTCTTCCTCACTCACTGCAGCTCGAGCACACCAGATCACCTTTGATTCTGATCACTGTAAAACCATTCTGTGCTGCACAATAGCATGCTGTAAAACTTCAGTAATTTAGCAATACATGTTCAAAGCCAAAACCCTTTCTGAGGAAGAATAATGATACAGGGTTCTTAGGTTTGTTCCATACGAAACCCTGACTGTTATTGGTACACTGCAGCTTCAAGGTGGACAGGCTCGGTCATGGTGTTGTTAAAGATATCTTTATGAAGATTAAAATATTTTATGTCTATATGGGCATAAAAGGCATAGCTTTTCACCACAGAGGGTCTTTAAGAATTATTATCTGAGTTACTTGCAATGAGGCTTTTCAGCTTCTGTCACAAATACAAATACATACCTACACATCCACATATGCATGCCTGGCATTGGCACTTCCACAGTTGAGTATAGAATGTTTACTTTGGACAAATCAACCAGAGTTGATGGAAAGACCACAACTTGGTAATAATGGCACAAAACAAGTTGGGCAAGACAGCATCCAGACATGCTAAGAAGATGATAAACTCAGGCTCTTACCGGCTCTTCCTCTGAGTGCTTGAAAGTAAGCAAAAGCCAAAGGTTAGTGGCAGAATTAAGCAACAGCATTGATCCAGACCTTCCATCATACTTTTGGATCATTGTTTTGCAGTTTATTTCATAACACACAGGACCTGACCCAAACTTAACAAGCGATAACAACAGTATTGTGATTCAAGTCAGGTTTGGACCATTTTACTTTGGAGATAATTTTGGTATTTTAATAATCCATAAATTCCTCTCCTTCTCTCTCTGACTGATCCAACTGTCTGTATCCATTTGTGTCGTGCTAAAAATGCTGTAGATATGCTTTCCCAGTGGGACAAGGGACAGAGATAGAATGTTCTAGCTGACAAGCTAACAGAACTGCCACTGGTCAACCACTCCCTAAAACCGGCAGCACCAGTTGAGTTCGGTCTGATTACATTGTAAAAAGGTATGTAAGATTTCTTTAATGTATTACATAATATATATATTTTTGGAAGATACTGTGGTGTAGTTTGTGTGTCTCTCTTAGTTCAGTCTTGAATGAGAACATTTCCTCTTTGTGCCTCCTTCCTCAGCCACGGGAAGGATATCTTTCATCCTTGTGGTCACATGTAGGTTTGTTGCTGAGACACACAACTAGCTTAAATCGAAACACAAGTGTCAGGATAAGGTTCCTAATAGCTGAACTTCAAAATGTGCTTTTGCCTAAACAAGACCTCCAACAGTGTGGCAATGCCACAAAGGTATGCTTTCATAGTCAATATGGACATGAGGAAAGCTTTTGATGATCCATTCTGAATGTGAGTATTACATTAATACAGACTTGGAACCAAACCTGAGCATTAAAAGAAATGAAAGGCCTGGTCTCAGTCTAATCTTCAGCCACATCTTGAGCTAATATTCTGATCCTGTCCAGCGTAACAGCAGCTGAACATGGTTAAATTTACAAATAACCAACCTTGACCAGAAACCACTGATTAGAAGCCTAAAGGTCAGCATATATACTTTAAATGATAATACATAACTCAGAAGAACCAGAAAAAGCACAGGAGAAAAGGAGAAAAGGCTGAGTTTTTTCCATACAGGTACCTGCATCAATCACAAGTACCTGGATGTTATCATTTTCTATAGTACTCAGTGAGCTGTCCAGCCTGTCTTACAGACAGTTGCTAAGTACTCCAAACATCACACACATTAAATCCCGTTAATCCCTTAACCTTGTTGAAAAGTCATGCCTGGATGAAGCATCACACACTTGGAATGATAGCAAATTCAGTCTTATTACATTACAGTTATGCAATATGTTATCACAACATAAACCCTCAGATTTATTATGTAGGAAAACTGGGAGACACCAAACCTCTGAGTCATAGATAGCAAAAAACACAAAAAACTTGGATGGTATTTCCAGAAATTCCACTTGCGGGTTTTTATGAAAACCACCTTGTTGTTTATGTTTCTAAAATGGAAAATCCATTTCTTATCTGTTCCAGCCCATCCCAGCCCAAACTTTCTCTTTGCACACCATTGTCCCGATCTTATTTCCATCTTTCATAATCATCCAATAATGAAAAGGCTCACTTGACAAGAAAAGATATGTCGGACAAACCAAGTTTCTGTAGACATTTAGTACCACACTGTGGTGTAATTAAATCTGTAAATAAAACATCTGCTGAAAAGAAACAGTAGGTAAAAGGGCAATTTTTTGAAGAAATTGAAATAAACCACAATGCCTTGTAAGTTTATTCAACCCATGTTTAAAGTGACTCTTTAAGCTGTTGTTAGAGTCAAGTAATCAGGTATACTGAGATTCCTAGCCAGAAATCTCATTTGTGCATTTTTAGGTTAATGTAAAAATCTTGCACCTCGCACAATAATCAAATTCCATATATAAGAGTGGAAGCATAGTTAGCATCATAATCCTGGTAAACAATTCACAATTTAAAAGGAAAAAAGCTCTGGATGACAGTTGGATTTGAAGATTGAATTAGTGATGATGTGCTGCTTCTTAGGCTCACCTCATCTCCCTCCTCTGAGTGCTGGGAGAGCTGGTCGTGGTCCATGATGCCAGCCTCGTCCTCCGTGGGCCCGTTGCCCACCCGCACTCCTCCAAACTTCTGCGTGCCCTGTTGGGTGAGTCCGGTGCATGATGAGGACACGCCTGTTTGCTCTAAAGACTGCTCTAGATTCTCAGCAGGAGTTTCTTCCCTCTTCTGGGACTAGATACAAAAGCCACAAGAGCTGTTTCTAGCTTAAAGCAAGCCTTAGGATGAACACTTCCTTTTTTAATTTACTTCATTTTTCAGGTAAAGCAGGGCACCCAGACAGTGAGTTAAGATTCTCATTCCAATAGAAATATATCCACCAGTTTATTATTTCAAAAAAGTAACTTATTAGACTGGAATAACCTATCATTTACTTGAGGGAAAAAACAGTCTCACTGGGTGAGGTAAACCTTAGCAAACAAATCCAAACTCCATTTTGTGAAGTTTAACTGTAACTGTAACTGCAGAGCTTTGACTGCTACTTTGGAATTTCTTTTGTTAAATATGACTTAAAGTAAAGTAAAAGTAATGAACTCACGAAAATGTGACAAAAGCTAATGTATCTTTGTCAAAAACTCCTACAGCTAATTGGAAATAACGTGCTCGTAGTAACACTGGCACCTAAGGACAAATGTACCAAAAAGTTATCATTTTACAAAAGTATTAGTACATTTTAGCACAGAATCGTTCTCACAGAGTCTCAGACATAATAAATATGACCACGACACTGCTGCTCAGTCTCATAGGACTGCATTTCCTTGAGGTTTAACACACCCAATGAGAGCAGTGAGAGCTCTAGAAAGCTATAATTCATGTATACTATGTAGCCACAAGGCGTGTATGCTGGTAGTGATGACAACTGGGATTTCAAAAACTAAATACTGAGATCATATTAGTAATACAAATGATAATACTGTAAATAATCTGATCTAAACTGTCTGGTTGACAGTTATGGTTACAGGCTCTCTCCCCTGCCCTACACTTCTATTTTTGAAAATAATTATTTGCAAAAAAACAAAAACAAAAAAAAAAACAATAAACAAAGCTAATTATGCATTTGAAAGATAGCCAAGACAATTTTTATAGTGATAATATCAGTTTTGCAAATTTGTTCACAAATCATGTCATGAAAATCTGATACGATGAAAGCCTTATTCCAAGGTAAAATTCAGGGAAATAGTGGTTTGCTGTATGTGTACCTTTTTGGATAGAAATTTGGCAACTATACATATCTTTATATAAATAATAAAGATGGCTGTATCATTATCAGCTGTTAGGGTGCCCTGAGTCTGAAGTTTGTTCAGCAAATTTTTCATAAAAAATTAGTGTGTCCAAGGCAGGCTTTAAGCATTTTTCATGGCAACACAACCAACCACATTACACGATACAATGTGCATTGAAATGAATGGCAGAATAGGAGTAAAAAACAAAAGGTTATATCAAAGATTATTACTGTTCAATCAAGTTCAAGCAAAGGTGGCAGTAAGGTTATAGGTGGAGTCAGATCCACATACCAGGTGCTTTTTCCACAGGTGCTGACGCCGAAGCACCATAGTTTTCACAATCAGCATACAGGGAACACATGCAAGGGCAATCAGCACCAACAAAACCTGGATCCCCATCTACAGATTCAAACAGAGAGAGGTTAATCAGGAAAAGCTAATTCCAGATCGTGGTGAGGTTTAAATCAGTTTTGCTTCTAACTGCTAGCACAGAACAAAACATAGCAGTGATTGTTTAAAACTGACATTCATTGCTTCATTTCACTGGGATAATATGACCTGAGTTCAAGCTTCAAGTCAGCAAAAATGAACCCTACAGAAAAAGTCCTTGAGCCAGACACAAAATCCCTAGCAGCTCCTGTGCTGCTGTTCTGCAGCTATGGCTGACCTTTGACCTCTCTGAATGAAGGAAAGTTAGAAGAAAATAAAGTATATTTAAGAGTGTGTTTGATCTATAAGAGCTGCTAGGCACCTCTTTTCCAATGTTTAAACATGTTAGTGAGGGAGAACGAAGATGGGAGAGGCAGAGGGATGGATGAGGGAGGGAGCACCTGTCCCGCGTAGAGGGGTTTGTTGGTGGGATCGTTGTAGTTGAAGAGACACATGTTGATGAAGTGGATGAGCAGGCTGGGAGCGTCCTTGGAGGTGAAGGCGTCATAGGCCGTCCACTTGTAGAAGACGAGCAGGACAAGGTAGCCAAACAGGCTGGCCATGAAGACAATCTCAGGGATGAAGCCCAGGAAGATGTTCAGAGGCTTCTTGAAGTATCTGCAGTGCATTGCAGTCAGACAAGAACAAAAGCTCAGGTTCATCAGATTTTCTAAAATTTGTATTTGTTTCGTACTTTCAGTTTGCCGATGTTAATCATATGGTCAGAATAGCCATAATAACTATGAGGAAAATAAATACGTTATTGTAATGTGTTAACATTCAGCAAAATCCTTGGGTGCAGTACTTACAGGTGGTTAAAGAGACTGAGAGACACTCCAAACAGCATGTGGATGACACCCAGGATCACTGACATCTTCATCTTGAACGAGTTGAGGAAAGTCAGCTTGTTGGTGGCAATATTCCAGATCTGTAGATACCACAAAACAGGGTTGAACACTTGACACCACCACAGGAATATTGCCATTCCTTTACATTTATTTATTCCAAGGTGCACTAATATAACAACTAATATGTTGTCCATCCATCCATTATCTATACACCGCTTAATCCTCACTAGGGTCATGGGGGGGCTGGAGCCGACTTAGGGCGAAGGCAGGGGACACCCTGGACAGGTCGCCAGTCTATCACAGGGCTACACTTAGAGACAGACAACCAAGCACACTCGCAACTAATATGTTGTGAACAGTTTATTTGAATTGTTGAACATTTTTCCCTCAATGTTAGTTATTTTGAGCATTCTACAAACTACGAGCTCATCAGATTCTGTTGATGTAAATATCTAAAAACAAACTTAATTTCAAAATTTAACAAATTTTGTACAAAAAAGCCTAAATTCATAAATGGATACTTTGGCTAGTATCTGACATTACCTAAACAGAAGGAAATGGTTGAAGTGGAGTCATCCACATTTGTGCTCTATTGGGCATTGGGGGCAGCAGGACAATGAAAGGGAGACGCTGATGTCTTTTAATAGTATTTGGACAACAGTGCTGCGCTATGACACAGAGGAGTAGGATACAGTATGCCTGGGACTGGGTGATAATACAGAATACTGAGAACCTGTAACACTTAATTTTACAACACAAGGTAAATGTAACAAGTTGGTTTGTAACAGGGAAAATAGCTGCTAGCTACAAATATTGTTGTGTTTTTTACCGGGTCAATTCCAAGCGGATAAGGCCCATTGAACACACCAGGAACAGCAGGATCTAACTGTAGAACTGCATTTTCATTAAGTGTCTCAGGCCTGGAACAGATCAAGAGCAAATAAATAAATGCACTGAAATAAAGCACAAAATGCATACTAAAATATAGAGAGAGGGAAAACAACACATTTTACTGACATCCACATACATCACAAGGTTTTTAGTGACATGTTATATGATGGCAGAACTAACAGTGAGAAGATACCTGAATGGATCTGACTGGTCTAAAAAGGTTCCTGCAGGGTCAGAATTTGATTTCTGACACTGAACCTGACACTAAATATGTGGTTAGTTTTCTATATCCTTGATGACTGGGTAGACTCTAACTGCTTCACAATTCCCTCCTTTTAGGAGGCTTTCCTGGAAACTGGAGACAGAGTTCCAATTACAGTTCTAATTAGTTGCAAGTTTAGTGGTGGGCAGGCCAGTGAGCACAGGCTTAAGAATAACTTTCTGTAAAGGCACAATGGTACAAAACCACAAAACCTCAGTGTGACCACAGCATTACTGGAAATGGCTGTTGTTTCTCCAGAAATATGTCCAACTTCTAACATACTAGAGAAAATAATAAATTAATACAATGTATTATGTAAGCTGTAGAAGTGTTGCTATGTGTACTGTTGAACAGTGGACAGAGCCATGTAAGCTGTTTCCCCCTGCTTCCAGTCTTTATGCTAAACTAGGCTAACCACACCCCAACTCATGTTATGTAATTAAAGAATTCTAATTTCTCACACTTGGGAAAAAAAGCTAATATGTATATTTTCAATATGTTGAAATATTTCTCTGATCATTTGTTTCCTTAGTAAATAGTGACAAAAAAAATGCTCAACTTCATCTATTGATTGGTTGTAGAGTAACTAAGAAAATAACACTAGACTAACAAGAGGAAAATGGTAAATATCAGGGATTAATCAGTTGAAGCAGAAAGCTGGCTCACTTACGACCAGTTTGCTCCTTTAGGACCAAACATGGGTCTGACACTCCAACCAGAGCCAAACATGTTGAGTGACTTGGAGAAGCAGTCATTGTAAATGATGCCGGTGTAGATGGAGAAGATCCCCATCAGAAGGATGATGTAGCGACCAGCGAAAACCATGTTGAACATCTACAGAGGCAAACATCAGCTTAGACATATGGAAAATTCTTTGTTTTTAATATTTGTACAATACGGTTAAACGGTGAAGATGCTTATGACCATATTACTTGTGTATCCTTATTAGATGTGATTGTGTACCTCATTGTCACTCTTCTGGGCAACGAGGCGACTCTCTCGGATGACCAAGTAAAGAGCAGCAGCGGTCATCAACACACCATGACCCATGTCACCAAACATCACCGCAAACAGGAAGGGAAAGGTGATGATAGTGTATGGAGCTGTAACAGGTGACACAAAGGAACAGGCCGTCAAATGCTGAGGCTCAAACAATCAGAAAAAATTCTATTTGAGAAATAATCGAAAATTACTGGTGCAGCAAAAATTGTACAATATTGCAACCACAGTGAATTTTTAATTATCCATAAAATATACGAGAGGACTATTTCTACATTGTTAATTTAAGGAAGGTTAAAGAACTAAAGCTATAAGTCATGAATTCAAATATCAGCAAAGGAATTTCTGTATAACCTGGATTGATTTCACGGTAGTTGCCAATGCCGTAGGCATCAACAATGTTCTGGAAGCCTGATGTGAACTTGTTGGTCTTGTTGAAGGTAGGAGGAGTCTGCTTGGTTTGCATCCTGTTTAGGATGGAGGGCACCGTTGAGCCACTCCTCTCCTGTAAAATAAAACCTCACTTATCAGCACGTACTGTCCATGTTAGAGGTGCAAGAAGAGTAATAACTGAAGATCGAAAACCGTAAAAACCGCTTAACAGCACCTGTGACCTCAGACTAAGTATGTAACTATATATACTATATATATATATAGCTAAATGGCTGTGTTGAGAAAGGGAGGTGCAATTTCAGTATGATGTTCTTCAGCTTCTAAGCTATGAATGATGCCAAAGACAACCACTCAGATACTTTGATGCTTCCTAAGGAAATGTACAAATGCAGTTTTATCCACATTGAAAAAGCAAAAATGTGCAAAACTGCTAGTGGGATAATTATTACAAATTTTAAAATTTAGTCAGGCAGAAGTAAAACTGCTGTTATAAAGACAGCTGATAGAAGTAAACATGGGTTGATAATATCTAGAGAACACATTTGTTAAAACTGGCAAAGTTACTGAGTTGCTAAAGAACACAGTAGTTGTCTATGATCCTTCAGATGCACACTGTTAAGCAACAGAAGAAGAAAGTATGTGAAACCAGCAGGAAAAAAACAAACTCACGGTTCCTCTACGCAGAGCGAACTGAATAGAGTCCAGGTCTGAGACAGGACACCACACTTCAGCAATGAGACACTTCTGGGTGACGTCGATGTTGCAGAGGTTGAGTGTATGATAGATGGCCTTCATCTTCCTCACTTTGATGAACCACACCCGCATGGTTTTAGAGGCAGCCTGTAGCACTCGCTGACGGTGGTCCTCTGTTTGATTCAACACCTACAACAGTCGTGTACAGGGGTTTGTTTGAGACTGTCGATCCCGAGCTTATCATATATATGTATATATACACACTGTTGCCCATAAAGTTGGAATAAGTTTTCAGACACATTCCTCTTTTTATTTCTATTTATACACATCAGTAATCACCTCTGACCAGGTCAATAATCACATACTGAGTCCCAGTTACCAGGCGAAACTAATTCTGACTTTGGGATGTGACTGAAGAGTGGGACGTCCTGTCCATTCACCATTGACAAGCTGGTGGACAGTATGCCACGATGTCTTAACGCATTGATCCGTGTCAGGGGTGGCCATACTCAATATTAGTGACTGAGTGACACTTGAAAGAGTAATATTGGACATTCGAATGCATGAATATGTCACATGTTATGACGGGTTGGACAACTGAAATGAAACCCTTAATCCTATTGTTCCATACCTCCGATTTTGTTCAAAAGAGGTAAATGAATAAATAAATAAATGAATGAATGAATGAATGAATGAATGAATGAATGAATGAATGAATGAATGTGAGATTGTTTCATTTTTCACATTTTGATGTTGGAAATCAAAACTTCCTATCTGATTTAGTTGGTGACATTATGATTTTGCCTGTGCATTGTGCATTAGGCGAGAGAAGGTCTTAAAGCTGAACATATGCAAATGTCCTTAGCCTTTAGCTACAGATGCAGTATACTGGGTCATAAAACTGTTGGCAGATATCAGATCTTACCAGTGATTCCTTCTGTGTAGAGGGTTGATCATGTTTATATATTTGAAGGAAGCCAAAACTGTGATTGTGATTAATGTTTGGTTAATTGTGCAGCCCTACTCTGCGCTATCCGCCAGATGCATGTTAAACTCCATGTCTGCACGCACACAGACTGTCCTTTCTCAATCAAAAAGTCACCTGAACGCTGGAATGCGAAGTATTTACAGTGTACAATATGTTGGGAAATGACATAAAAAAAATGTTATCTTAAAGAACCAAATTTTGCCTAAAACATTATATGCACAGAATTGTATTTTTTATGTGAACCTATGCTCTGTTGAAGTAGTGTGTAATTCATTGTGTGTGGTTGACAGGCTCAGACTAGACCAGCTCTCTCAGGCAGAACCAGGGCTTTTTTCCAGGCTTAATAAGGGAAAAGTTGGAGAACAACAACACTATGAGACAGGACAAAAGGTCTTTCACAGATAAGAGCTAATGCGCAAGAAAACACCCACCTACAATATAAGGGCTTTTGTAATTTGATTGGAAATAAATTTCATCGAGGAAAACTAAGCAGGAGTCTGAACACAGACATCCTGTTGCGCAAAGTTTCTGATTAATTGCTTTTTGTTTGGTGAGCAGCAGTGTAACAAAGAGTACAAAGAGCCTTTGAAAGAATTATCAAATTAAAAAAGAACTGCATTGCTCTTGGTAATGTGACCTAAACAGTAAACAGGCATCACTCCAAGGTCAACTACCCTCCCTCTATTTTTCTCATAACCCCTTTTTGAAGTTTATCTAATGTGACTGTCATCTATTAACTGATGTAACACTACTAAACTTACCATCTGGAGGTCATCAATGCGGCTGTTGACACCAGCCAGCATCTCCTTCCTCTCCTGTGGAGTCTCTGGGCAAGGGTAGAGAGAGGCACGGAACCTGGACAAATGTACCAGCCATCAGAGTCAGCTCACAGCATCCAACACAAGCACCCCCCCCCCCCTTTGTGACACAATCTGGTATAAATGTGTAGCCTCTAATCCTGCATGGTCATGAGACAATCGAGCATTAAAATGCACAGTGAACGCATTGCAAAAAAAGTCCCAACTCGTCTCTTAAAATGCTTTCATTTCCCTCACAGACAGCCAAATCAGAAAAACCACAATTCGTGCTTTTAACTGTATTTGAGACATTACATCCTGAAAGAACTTTTTAGAGCTCAACCAGGACAAAATTGAGGTACTGTTGTTGTTTGTACTGTTTTTACTGTGTTTCTATTGCTGTAAAAGCACTTTGTGTTGCATTGTATTTGTACGAAAATAGCCAAATAAATAAAGTCTTGCTTGCTTGCTTGCTTGCTTGTTTGCTTGATTGATTGATTGATTGATTGATTGATTGATTGATTGATTGATTGATTGATTGATTGATTGATTGATTTGGGGTTTAGAAATCCTGACAGGTCTGTATGCTGTTTTCTACACAATATTATGGCAACATGTCCTTGCAGTTACTAATCCTAAAAAAAACAGTTTTGTTATCAATCCACTGTAGTTAAGGGCTGAGAAAGATCCACTACCCTCATTCTCAGCTTAACTTTCACCTTATCTTATCTTTGAATTGCCCCTAGGGAATAAAAAATGTTATTTGAATTGAATTAAATTGAATTATCAAAGCTCGCTCTATCCACAATAAGATTTAATATATAATACATTTTGTTGTGATACCAATATGTGCTCTGTCATGTCAGCACTTGTAACTAAACATTATTTTACACACAATTACTGCATATGCCCATACCGAACCCTACCCCCTTCTTTGGCCATATTTTTTATTTTTTTACATTCATTCTCATCTTAACCCTATTTCTTTTTGTAATCTCAAAATGCACTGAATTTGCATCATCTTAAACACAATCTTGGCTTCCAACTTCTACTGTGAGCAAATGGGTCATTATGCAACACCCACCCCTCACAGATCTTCTTCACCCTGTTCTTCAGTTGGTCACCCTGGAAGAAGATGATGAACACTGACTTATGGACTTGGTCTCCCTGTTAAAAAGACAAGTAGGTGTTAGAACGCTGCAGTTTTGTAGTTGATGTAGTTAAACTTAATATACAATTCAAATATGCAAATGAGATTGTTTCCTAAAACTCTGTATTAACACTTTAATACACTGTAGTTGTGCACAGTGTGACGTTCTGGTTATACTTAAAGCTTAATGCTTCAATGCTTTAATTAATTTGTCATTACTCCTCTCTCTAACTCCCTTCTGTTGCATGCTAACCGTGGTGGGGTCCTCCAGAGGGTCCTCGATCTCTGCCTTCCTTAAGAAGACATTACCACGACACACCCTCCACAGCATCCTCTCAAAGGTGGGAATCCTCTCCCTGCTGATCACTCCAGCCACGAACCTGCGCAGACAAAACTCTCAGAGCCTCAACAAACAAAAGAAAGGCTAGCTACTTTACTTACATGAATAGGTATCAGCTAGTGTGAACACCAAATTAGACCACAGACCACCTTGGTTAACTTGCAGTGGTTCAGAAGAAGTCAATATTTACTTGTTTTTTTGTAGTTGTTTTTTTTTTACTTTTCTAGTCTTTGGCACACAACTAGTTTTCCTAGATAACCTCAAGCCCGTAGAGCTGTCTTCCCTAAAACTAAAACCACTTATTTAGTCAAATGAATACACTGCCATCAGGGTTTGTTCAACAAATTAGTCATTAGTCTCATCTATTTTGACATCACAACAGTGTTGACAAAAATACTCCTAAAGTCACAGTGAGTAGCAATCATATGTGATCACATCATCTTTCTAACTGGTTTGTTGCAGGATGCTGCCTACCTTAATCGTTCCGCTACAACACGATAAGCGTGACCAGTTTTTCAATTCAGTTGGTCAAGTGACGAGTCAAAAAATCTTTAGTCAATAGAATCCTTGACAATCATTACCGTTTCAACCATTGCAAATTATGTGACTATTTTAACATTTGCTAAGAGAAGGAACTCCTGTTTATTAGAGATTATAATGCTGTTCTTACCCTAGTCTGAGTGGGGCCCCGCGGCCCCCCTCACTGCCCTCCATGAGAGCTGATGACTCCTCCAGCAGGTTGGGATCCTCCATCTGTTAGAAATGAGAAAAATACAGGTTATTTAACCTGTTAAAGTGTGATGATCACATTTCTTTTGACTGACTGTTTGTGGTTCTGTACTTGTTTTTATACTCCAAATAGAATATAATCTTGACCTACATCTTCAAGTAGACCACAACTTCAGACTCGCTGACAGTGTGGCTAACTACCAATGTAATAACATAAAAAAAAAAGAAAACAAATGCTCTAACAGATTATATTGGATCATCACCTGCAAGTTCAATGATACATTAGACTGCGGATGGGTGGTCTGTATGTCTGAGAGGGTAAAATACCAACCTCATCAAAAAACTGCTGCGTTCGATGAAGGATATGTTTGAGCTCTGTCAGCTCCAGGAAGTTCTTCTTCAGGGCTTCCTGGTTGGTGTTAATCTCCTTCAGTTCGTTCTCCAGTTTCTCAAATGTGGCCTGCCAAGAGAAACCAGCAAACACTCACAGTCAGGGTTTAACTGTGAAAATGATGTAATTTTGATACATATGTTGTGTTTATGTATTGATCTTTTATTACCTCTAGATCAATCATGTCCCTGGGAAAAGGTACTTCTGGATTCTCTCCAGTGTCCACTGTTGGGATGTTTGCTTTTTTGATCTCCTTCTCAACAAACCCTGTTCACCAGGGAAACATCAAAGATTCAACCTCTTCCAACAGTTTACCAGATGAGAACAATCTGATTATTGTTTCCATCCATTTATATTGTAACATTACATGGTACTTATCAAACAGGAGTAACAAAGAATCTGAAAGTGAAGCTGGACTAATCAGATTTAGCAGCTACCAGAGTGTGGTTTGACCTGAGCATCACATTCGTCTTATTACTCACTCAGTTTCCTGTCCATCTCCTCACATCTCCTCACTTCGTTTACAAATTTGCGTTGGAACACATTTACATCTGGATTCAACTGCAAGTGGAAAAGGACAAGAAAAACCCATTTTACTAACAACAATTATGGCATTTTGATAAAACTAAAATTGACTTCTACTCAGGAAATTAACTAAAAGCCTGGGAGTATGCAATCATTATTTATCATCAATTCATGTGTTATGCAAATGAATGACAGGAGTAACACCACATGTGCTCTCTGACATCTTTTCCACTGACCTTAAAGGTTTTGTATTCAGAATCACTAGACTGTTGCAGGAGAGCACCAGTATCTCAGAAAAAGACAAATGGGCCACACCTCCTCCCTCCCTTTACAATTTATGTACAACCAGTAAGATTTTAAACATGAGAGCAAACAAAAAATAGTGTAGCCATAAGACGTTAGAATTCAACACACACACACACACACACAGGAATTGTGATCTTATTCTCAGGTAAGGATGCTGGTACTTCATGTATCTTTACATAGCAGATGGCTGTTTAGTGCTATAGCAATGCTATATTAGTGTTCAAATCACATATATACAGAACCCTTATTTTAATTTTAACGACTGAAATTATTTTTGCCTTCTCAGGGGTTCTAATACTACGAATGTCATAGCTTGACAACATCTATACTCACATCTCTAAACTGGACCATTCCCAGTTCTCCCAGCTCGCTGACGCAGCAGTAGGCTGCCTCTGACTGGAGGAAGAGCTGGGCCAGTGTCATCTCCTCGCTTCTGAACAGTTCCCCCATGATGACCACTGCACTGCACCTCAGCTACAATAAAGAAACACTGCAACAAAGACACATAAATCATTTAATGTAAAGATTGTTTATACACAATACATTTTTGTACTTTAACGTTATTCTAGGTATTTCAGATAATGTTGAATCGTTGTGTATACTTTGGCCACTTGACTGTTACTTTGATTCATGTAACGTGACGTCTGTAACACTGGAATTTCTCTCTGGGATTTAGAACAACAAACTGAACTATTTAGTAATGTTTTGCAATTGCACTATGTAGTTGTGTACTCTGTGATCACCAGCAAATCTTGAAATGCTGAAATGCTGTAATCAAGTTGATTCATTTTCTTTTGACAAATCATTTTAGACACCTGTTCCAGTTTCCCAGATCCTTACAAGTCATAAAAGTTTCTTTCTTAATTCATTACAGTTAATTGGTCAATTTACAGTTAATTTACACTACATCTAGTGCTGAAACATTTTGCTGATTGCTCAGTTAGTCAGTATACAAAGAATTTTTTTATGTCATTTTTTGAACCTCTTCTAGGACGCTACCCAAAGACGGCAAGAAGGCGGGTGCTCTGAGCTGCTGTTCAGTGCATAAGCACAGACAACAGCAAGAGATTTACCCTTCACGACACGCAGTCAAAAAGAGGCCATCCTTTTGTTCCTATGGGAAGAAATCCAACAAAGTGGTGCTCAGTTGGGGCCTTGTGAGTATCCCCACACCTGCCTGATGCCTCTCACCCTGAGCAACTTTGATAGAGGAAAGAGTCTACCCCTTTCCAGGGATCTCCCAACGATATACCTCTCCACCTTCTGCACCAGTGCCAGTGAAGTGGCATTCCATGTTCCCACAACTAGTCTGCGTCACCAGGGGTCAGCACCCCAAGGTGCCTGCCACCGTCTGGTGTCCAAGCAGGACCCACTGGCCGATTGAATTTGTCTGGAATTTGATCAATTCTACTACATCTACATCTAAAAAGAAAAAATACATAAATAAAAATGCATAAACTTTCCTCTATTTCTGTGGTTGGTGGCCTCCATAAAGGGCTGTACTCGGTGGTCAAAAGCGTCAACTCAAGCAAAATGCCGACAATTTTGTAATTTTGTAATTGTGTGGGCTGATATGTGAACACCATTCTCTACAGGTCTTTTATAGTGAATCCCAGGATGGTGTCACTTTTCTTTTCACATTACTCTTCATTCCTTAGCCCCTTAGAGAAATTTGTTGCCTCACAGAGATGGAGTGTTTAGGACCATGAGCCACATGATCAGAGCTCCTTCTGGGAAGCAATGAATGCTAGATGTCTGTACATATGTCTGCAAAAGACTAGCTATCCCCTACAATTAAGTAAAAGGACTATGAGTACCTGTGTATTGCTTTGGTGAAGTTATCTTTTATTTTCAGCACTGAGAATTACTTGATAAACATTTACTTTTAAAAAGCCTACTGACGCAGACTGCTGCATCTATGATCACTGTGATACATACTCAGAGGCAGCACAAACCAGACATGAAAGTGGCATTTGCTTCGTTGTAATTTAATTTTAGTCTCGTTTGTAAATAATTAAGTAAATGCAGACAATAAAGATGGTCTGTGTTGCTGAGTTACATTCTGGTAAAGGGAAGTGTGGAGGTTTAAAAAAGAGAAATGGGTGTTACAAATTATTAGAAAATGTCATCACATTACGATGATGTTGATGAGTTTTATGAATAGAAAACTTCCACGCTGCCACACAAGTAGTTTCCAATCATGCCATGTTGTTGGTGCTGACAAAGTAATTTCAGATTTTGTTGAAATGAAGTAGATTAAGATTTAGTATAGAAGATGTCCAAGTTGAACTGATTTGTTTTAGACAATGGAAAGAAAAGCTTAATTCTTTTCGCTGACAGATGAGAGAGAGAAGGCCTTGCTTTACTGCAGCTAACAGAAAAGAGGTCAGTCGGGACATGACATCATGACACTGGCTCTTTTAGTCAAATAAACACTGGTACCTTCACTAGCCGGAAGCAGAAATACAAGGTGGTCATACTAAAACCACAAGTAATATGTACAAGGATAGATCAGGGAGGACATTACACAGTCACCTGCCACTCGTGCTGGCAAACAGCAGCCTCACTCTGCCCAGCTAATGTCCAGATATTGTAATCTAGCAACCTAAAAAGTGTGGTAGTTGGTGAAACAAGCATATCTGTTATTTTGATCTAGAAACTTAAAATAAGTTTCCATGACGACTGTGTCAGAATAAACTGGCACATCAGCACTGAGCTGGAGCAATGCATACAGGAACAGACATGTGGATGCTTATTTTGATTGTTATCTGAGGTTTTGTCATGTTTTGTAGAATCGTGTGCAATCCACAGTGAAAAGGGCCACACTTTTCAGAAACATTTAAATGGCTTGGACTAGACTGCGGTATATTATTATTACTATTAGATATGTAGGACAGATACCATTCTCCTTCCAATGGACTCTGGGGTTGGTATCCATTCATTACTCATGTAGTCAACGTAAATAGACGATGCTAAAGGAGACGATGCTAAATAAGACACTGAAGCATGAGAAGGGAATTTGTCGTTGATTTCCAAATGAAGGGCAAACCTCACAAATAGCGTAGCTTAGGGCTGAATTACAAGTCGTGACGATTCTACATAAACACAGCTTTGCCATAAAGACTGGAGCGTTTAAACAGCCTGAAGCTTCACTGATGCAGTAGCATCCCTCCTGCTGCTGCATCTCTGCCCTTCACTGCTCAAGGACGCCATGATGCTGCTCATCCGGCCTAGTTCCTGTTACACACACGCGCGCGCGCGCGCGCGCGCACACACACACACTACTGCTCTCCTTTAAAATACGGCGATAAATATTCATATTTAACATTCATTCCAAGTGTAAAATGCTGACATTTGCGATTTTCTGCCACAAACTAACATGTTGCGCTTAATATAGGCCCAAAAGCAGGATATCATTTAGCTCTTCTACAGGCTGAGGTACGACGTGATGACGGTAAAAGTCGATGTAGGACTCGTTCTGGAGACAAACACTATAACACGTTAAAATGCGTCATTTTGAACGCACGTATCCAGTAAAATAAGCATTTGTTATTACAGTCCTCGCACCCCGCACGTTTAGATGTGAATTCGCAGGTTACAAGGTTTATAATTCTCTCACTAACCTTATGTGATATGAAATATTTTCAGAATAGCAGCGTACTCACCCGTGTAACCTGCTCAGCTCAGCCTCCTGGATGCTGGATGCTCTCCTCACGACGGTGTGTCAAGTTGCACACGTTGATGTAGGAAATAAACCCCAAGAATAGAGGTCTACAAAATAAAAGCACTGCGTCTCTACTTTATGGATGTATTTTATGAGGATACATCCAAGCATTTTAATTCCACTAATGCAATTCAGATATGTCGTATTGTTAATCAGCTGCCATTGTGCTTTCTTCTGTACAAAATCGTGCTCACAGATTCTTCAACAGGATTTTTTTTTATTGTTTTAAATCCAGTATTTTGTTTTAAAATTCCATTAACTTGACAAGGATGGTAGCGGATGAGAGGAGTCAATGAGAGCATTGCATCCATACTGTACACATTTATAGATGACATAACTATGGATTGTAAATCAAATAAGTTGATATAATAAAATAGTGGCTATTTTCCCTTTAAACAGCCATTAATGTAAAAAAGAAAAAAGAAAAAAAAGTAAAATGTTAAATTAATGTAACGTGGTAAACCACTGTTACTTTAGAATAACCACATTTCCTGACACCATATGACTATAAAAGAAAAAGATGGAGCTCTTCATTCTTCACCTTGTCTCTTGAGATTCCCTCCCAAAGCAGAAACATGTATGCCTGTCTGATCAGACAAACAACACATTGTAACTCCAGGCTATGGTATGTTATTTTAATGGTTGCATGTCTTTTTAAATTCAAGGCCCTGCAGACATCCTTACAGTTTTATTTTTTTGTTTAATTGCAATTCATCTTCACGTGTACTATGAAGGTTTAATCACAACTTGAAAGTGTTCAGAGAGGCAGACAGTATTCCTGCTTTTCCTCTACCTACCTACTGATTAAATTAATTCTTAGTTTTGGAATGTAAACGAGTTGGAAGTGGAACAATAAAGACAATTTTAAACTAAAATAATTTAATTAAGATGGACACTAAAGAATATACACTTCCTGAGAAGCTATCACTGATCTGCTTGGGGTTTCCAGCTGATAATAAAATGGAATGTAAATATTGCCCTTTTTGCAAGTAAATGATAAAATAAACAGCAAAAAGTTAGATTTTTAAACCTGCATATTTTGCCCATTTGAAGCAAAAGTTGAAAGAAGTCACAAACACAACATTGAACATATTACCTTTTAACAAACCTGTAAACATGTGAGCAAACTATTGCTTATGCACACATCCAGCAGACACAGAGAAACATTTACTTGACATCATTTTTGTCCTTATCTAATTTCACATAGAAAGACCATTCTCTTGCGCTGACACCACATGTGCAGAAAGGTCTGGTTGCACCTTGTTGTCATTCTACTATTGAGGGAGAAAAGCTTTGGTTGTTTCGATTACTTTAAATAAATCACAATGTCTTGAGCGGGGGGCTACAAGGTGGCTTGGTGGTTAGCACCGTTGCCAGTGTCCCGGTGAGGACACCTGAGATCTTTCTGTGTGGAGTTTGCATGTTCTCCCCATGCAGCGTAGGTTCTCTCTGGGTTCAAAGTCCAAAAACATGTTGAGGTGAACTGGTGATTCTAAACTGTAATTGAATGTGAGTGTGCTTCATTGTCTATCTCCAAGTGTAGCCCTGTGATAGACTGGTGACCTGTCCAGGGTGTCCCCTGCCTTCACCCTGAGTCAGCTGGGATGGCACCCTAGTGAGGATAAAGTGGTGTATGGATAATGAATGGATGTCTTAGGCGGGACTAAGAACAGGATGCAGTGACAGTGTTTAAACAGTGACAAGGGAATTGTATTAGGTGAATATTTGCATGCATCCAGAACTGTTATTTAAATGGGCAATATAACACAAATGAGCAGGTCTGCTACACTGCATCCAAACCTTTAAAAAAAAAAAAAAAATTCTCAGTGTGGTAGGTTGATATTTCTTTCTGTAGTGAAGGGGATTTTAAAAATAGTAACACATAGATAGTGGAAGGAGAGCTATGTGAGATGCTGGTCTATGCCCACAACAAACATCCAGTGAGAAACTAGACTAATGTCCACCTGATCAAACTGCAGTAGCCACTCCTTTTAGCTCTGCTTTGGATCTGACCAAATAATGTCAGTGTTACTATTGGAAGGTCAGTGAGTTTGAAGGTTTACCAAACACCAAACAATGCAGAGTGGGTTATATAATTGGATTAAACTATTTACCACAGAGATTATTATTTTATTTTCAGTAGCAACAATCTCCAGGTAAAATATAGAAATATTGTGTTTTTTGCAAAGCAATCCACAGAGAATGTGCTCTTGCATAAAGCATCATCTTGCCGCAGGACGCTGCCTTGCATTGAAGAGGCAAATGCTGAGGTTCTTTTGACGCATTCAAATGAATAAAGTAGTTGACTTCAAAATGTAGCCAGAGTTGTCCATCTTCTGCTTGATGCTGGGCAGGTAGTATAGTGTGTGTGGGTTTTTCCAGTTTTTCATCATCATGAGCCAGACCTTTCACATTACATATTACACCTCACTGTGATTCTAAAAAAAAATGATTGTAGCAGCTGTTTGTCAGTCATGTCAGGAAGCCCGAAACATTCTACCTTTTTACAGTCTGTATTGCAGTGCTGTGCAAAAGTTGTAGACACTTTAGATGCTTGGATTCTTAATATAGCACAATACCATGGGGAAGGAAACATGGAGTCTCGCAGTAAGTGACACAAGTCCCAAGGATCCCAGATGTCAACATCATGGAGTCACTCTGGATTACGTGAAGAGACAGAAGACACTAAGACAGACTGAGTCCACTGAGGAGCTGTACAAGTTCTCCAACATGCCTGGAATATTTAAAAGCATCCTTCCTTTACTTTTAGATGCTAAAAATTCCGTTCACTACTACATATCAAGTTCTGATTCAATGACGATCATGTTGTAACTTGCCTGTAAGATGCTTATGACACATAATTTCTTATACTGGACAAAGTGAAGTGCTACCAAAACCACTTCTCCAAACATCCTGAAATAAGGCCTACCAGATGTGACTGAATAGTCCACAAGTGGCCAAGTGTTGAGTCAGTACTAACGAGATCCTGCAGAAATTTTCCTCTTACAAATGGCCACAGTAGACTTTCACCCCCTCTCAGTTCCACATGGTGCAGAGTTTAATCCAGGACACTGGCTGGCCGCCAGTGAGCAATTTTGGAGCCATGGAACTCCCATAATGTACATAAATTACTGTGGCAGACTTCTACGAGAAACAGCTTTTTAAAGATAGTGTTCTGCCTCAATCTGGGGTACCATGTGGTTTTCATAACATGCATGCATTAGAATGTTTTCCCTTGCTTTGCAGACAAAGCAAAACAGAGAGTGCCACTGGGCTGCATATGGATAAATATGAATGTTATTATGGAAAGGTGCTGTGCGGAAAAAGACTTACCATGGATTTCAAATGAGACAATGCCTTACGAAAGTCCTATCCAAAAATGTTTTATTTCTTGCAGCTGCTGATGACTTTGATGCTTAGCTGTTATTACCTGGAACAGCTTGGCTTCCTTTAAGAAAAACATGACTTAGAGAATACGTGGATGAGGTGTCCGAGTTCAGGCAAATTTTAGTATTGCTAAAAATGTATGTAAGACATAATCAGATAGTCATGGACAAATCAATCCAACATCCAATAACATGAGTTTTTCTTCACTGACAGATGACAGATGAAGTGTGCTTCTAATAACTGCCACACTAGAAGTCAGGATATCTGCTGCTGCTGCCTCTATTGCTTTGCCTTTGGCTGTTCCCTTTCAACTCTGTACCCAGCTTTATAGAAAAACAATATTAAAGTCTGAGCCACCTTAGACAGTAATCCTTAATCACAATAAAATACCGCACCTCTATGTCCTAACAGAGTCCTTGCACTTACATGTAAAGTTGAACACCTTGCTCCAGCTGAATCGTTTCGAATTAAATCGTTAATCCTGTCCCCATAAATCACATCCACATTGGTTGTTTCTGTCACCAAAGATGACAGCTTTGATTTACTGTACATACCACACCAGAGAAGTTGACGGTTTTTGAATGGGAGAGATTTTTTTAGCCAGCATCTAACAACTGTCGATGGTATTAAATTTTAAGGTCCATTGGGTTAAGCCTCAAGCCATGGTAGTTGGTGCTTGTTCTTAACATGTTTTACATCTAAATAAGGTCTCAGTCTTAACTTCAAGTGGATCTTATTTCATTCATGAAACCCTTGTAAATGATGGAGTAAAGGTGGTAATACATGTTTGCCAGATGCCTGTGGATAACACAGTTGAAAAATCTTCCAATGGTCCATGAATATCATCAACTTGCATTTGAGCTTGTATTTTAGGACAACTTATGTGTATCAGCATTCTGCCTGGAGCTGACATCATAGGTGAAACTGTACATATAACAGGATTTCAGTATGAAAATTATTTGGATGTTATATGATTGAAGCCAAAGCAGGTGTTCGGGTCATGTTTGAGCATGTATATTCTTTCTTGACCCTGAGAATATTATTTGGAAAAAATGATCGAAACTCTGGGTTAACTTGCAAAGTTTGAACTCTCAACCACTTCTTATATTTTTTATTAGTGAAAGGCATTGCCATGGAGCTCCATTAACACTGAGTCAACACGATTTCCTGAGTGAGATGCAATCAAAAAATGGTAAATTAATTTAAATGAGGACCATGGATTCTTATTTTTAATTAAGCTAAAGCTACCTCACTTTTAACCACATAATGCCCACATTTATTCCTGTATTTGCCAAAATCATTAAAGGATCTTTTTCTTTTCAATTAGAGCTTATTTCTGTCCTTTCCTTTTCCTTTGCCTTCCATGTACTGAACATGCTCTGCAGAGGAGGGAGAAAGGGGTGGAAACAGGAACAGATCCTGCCTGACATTCCTCCTTTGGCTGTGCCTCAGCTTGTATACAAGCAGATCAGTGCAGCTCTGCTAACTGTTCCAACCATGCTGATGGGACAAGGCTTGACCAAGGGGGTGTGTCAGTGAATCATGGAAGGGTTGGACTGAGGTGGAGTCTTTCTGATGTGTGTGTATGTCTAGGGAGGAGATAAGGGAGGAGTTTGAGGTGAAGGGGAGAGTCCAATGGAAAAAAGGGGGAAGGGGGGTGTTGCTGGACAGAGAAAAAACTCTGCCGGCTGTAGCTTGACTGGAGGGTTTCTCTGTCTGGTGTGGCATTCACATCCAGCATCGCTTGGCTTCCCCTGCTCACTGGCCTGACTCCAGGGACTTGAAGTAGGCAGAACAGACAGACAGACAGCAAAGAAGGGCAGAGTGCATGTATGCTGGAGAGAGATAAGTGAGTTCATAAGTAGGAGGGAAAAAAACAGAGGTCCACGGAATAGAAAAAAAAGGAAGAAACAGGTGAGAAGGCAACCAGTTGAAAAGGAATCTAAAAGACCCAGTACTAAAAAGAGGTTGATCAGCTGACAATACAAATCCACTGACATGGCAGCCATGGAAGCACTGGAATCGTCAAGTAGCCTGCTGGAGCCTCAAACCCTCACTGAGATCTCAGACGATGAGGTCAATCTCCCACCTTCAGATGATGAAGATGATGCCCTTGCCGCAGCCAAGAAAGAGCTGTCGATCTTGGGTACAGAGGGGGACAACACTGAAGACAAGGACGAGGCAGCGAAGCTGGACCCACAGGCAAATGGGGTTGTGGTACTGTCTTTGCTTGACAAGATCATTGGAGCTGTGGACCAGATCCAGCAGACCCAGAGTGGGCTGGAGGCCAGACAGCAGGAGATGGAGCGTTCAGTGACCAGCATCCAAGGCGAGCTGACAAAACTGTCCAAGAGCCACAGCACCACATCCAACAGCGTCAATAAGATGATGGAGAAGGTACGCAAGGTGAGCGTCAACGTCAAGACAGTGCGGGCCACATTGGAGAAGCAAGGAGGCCAGATCAAGAAGCTGGAGAACAACGAGGCAGAGCTGCTTAAGAGACGCAACTTTAAAGTCATGATCTATCAGGTGAGAGAGTGATTACAACCATGTGTGGTTGTTGTTTGTCTGTTGTGGTATATGGTTGTTTAGTACATGACATTGTATGAGGGAAGGGTGTGGCCCATGGGTGAACCACATAACTGATTGGGGTTTTGTATGTGAGTGTAAGTGCAGTCACTGCTACATCACTGACCACGAAGTCTTACTGAAAATGATAAAGAAGTGGTTTGGTGCAATTGAATGTAAAAGTATTCGATTTCGAAAATGCTGCTCATTTTGCTTAGATGCAGAGGGTTTTAGGGAGGGGTTAAAGGTTCCCTTTCATTGTTACTGGCAAGAGCTCAGGTAACATGCTGTGCTCATTACTGAGATCACAGTACAAAAAACATGCCCCACAGAAATTCAGGCTTCTCTGTAGATGAGAAATAAAGAGATACGCTTGCTAATTCTTCACCTGCTACTTTATTACATAATGTCTCAAAAAATGCAAATGTACTAAAGTGCTGCTAAAGTGTGATTAAAATGTGCCCACAATGTGCAAAAATGAATATATATAAGTACAGTACATAATTAGGATGAATGCATACACAAAGACTGAAAACAAACTAATGATAAATATTACACTAAGATGGAAGCCATGATTTGAACTTCAATCAATACACACTCTGTAAAGCATGAGGCGAGTGACATTTTCATACTTAAAAGAAAGCAAAATGCAATAAAACTTGCCAACTTGTTAAGACATGTCCACACCCATGGAAACAACATGCAAATATTCACGCTTGTTTATCAGAAAATATTTTTCTATTCATTTCCACGTATTCTTAAATTACATTTTTTTTAAAAATATAAATAAAATAAATGGAATCCCCTGTCCATGCAAGACAACATACAGAAGCAGAGATAATGGATGTATGTCTGTAACTGTTATGTTCCCACATGTTGTTCTACATCACCCCTGCCCCATCCCAAACCTAGTATAATACAATGGTTGAATATTCAGTACCCAGTACAGATGGCTTCCAGATACTTTTCTCCTGCAGAACGCTCTGCATAGGACGACGAATACAAGCTTTCCCTGAAGCCTTCACATGTAAGCCAAGCTCGCTGCCTGCCCAAGTCATACAGAATCCATTCGGAAAGTCATTTCACTCTTTCCCCCGTTTTTAAGCAAAGATGGAAAATACCACAAGCATGCTCAAGGTTCTGTTTAAGGTAGAGGAGTGGTAGCAGAGAGGGACAGCAGAGAGGAGAGCTCTGAGGGGCAGATGTTTCATTTAAAAAGACAGAGAGCAAGTTTTTTTTTTCTTTTTTCTTTGAGGGAGCTGAGGAGAGCCCTGTTTCTTTTTTTAGCCTGTAAGGCTGCAGTGTGATGTGTAATAGCTTGCAGCTTTTTGCACAGTGGCGCGAGAACATTCAGAGTTTCCACCCTTGACTCAGACATCATGGCTTGGACCAACCACACGCTCTCTGTTTCCTTCAGTCTTTATCCAAGAGTTGGGCAGAAGTCAAATGAGTGCTCCATTTTAAGCAACCCAGACTGTCTGACTGTGAATGATTGTACAATAATGCTAGTCTAACATGCTTACACAATATATTTGTCCTTACCTTGACTTGGTGTACACCAAGATGTTTTATATATAACCATCTGCAGATGAGCATGGTAGAGCTGTGAGGGAGAAAAAGCTAATCTCATTATCTCATATGAAGAAATTCAATGACATTACTGTTTCTCAATCTTAGTGGATCATAAATCAGTTTTAATTAGTAGTAGAAAGTCTAGAAGCTGAGGTTTGCAAAATTTCCAAAACGGTCTGTGCGTAAATACTGCATAGTGAAAAACAAAACAGGTTGGGATTTTTCCAGCATCAGCTAAGTTCTTGCGCCCTGTGGCAAGAGAAACTCCCCCTGAAATGCCTATCTCTGGCTCCCTTACTAACTCAAAACACTGGCTTTGTTTATGGTTGCCAACTATGACATAACACCAGATTCATCTTCATTAAAAAAGCAAACCACAATGTGTTGTTCTGTTTTCAATTTTCTGTGCTCCTCTGTTGCTCCTTAAGGTCAGATTCTTTCAAAATCAGCAGTAAATAGTAGGAAACCTACCAACACCCCCAGTGAACTGTAACACTGTTTATCTGGCTGCAAGGACAGCGTGTCAACACATTAATACTTGGCCTTTGTTAGGACTCATTAGGACTGTCAGTTTTTTCCTTCCAGCATAATCACTAACGCCACTCACAACTTACATCAATATGAACGCTGAGGACATACAAGGCAGTAGCAGTGGTAGTGTTCTCTCTTTGTACTCCAAGAACATAACAGAAAGAAGAAAGAATAGGGTTTGATGTAGTTCTAGACTTGGTTTATGGGGTTTTAAATCACCTGTATTATTAAATAGTGAATAACCATAATGAGTGAATATACACCAACCAGCCACAACAATAGAACCCCTTACCTATTATTGTATATTGTGTTGGTCCCGCTTGTGTAGTCAAAACACATCCGACATGTCGGGGCGTGGGCGCAGGAACACTGTGGCTGTCTTGTAGTGTTTTGCACCATGGGAGCGGATCCTTTAGGTCATGTGGGTAGCAGAGTGGGGCCTCCATGGATCAGGTTTGTTTAGGTACACATAAGGATGCTTGATCAAGTTGGTATCCATGGAGTTTGGAGGCCAGGTCAACACCTTGGGCTCTTTGTTGTGTTCCTCAAGCTGTTCCTGAGAAGTTTTTACAGTGTGGCAGATACAGTTTTCTGAACTCTCACAGGCATTTTCCAGAATGTTTAACATTTTTCAGGCTGTGACGGGCAGAGTTCTGATACATACACCCTGATTTGTACTTGAGTTGTTTGAGCCCTGAGGAAAAGCCCAGCCCTGGCACTCTGCTGATAATGAAAACATACTGTTACCGAGTGGTGTTCAGTGTAACAGAGGGCCAGCTCACACAGGGAGGACACAGCAAGAGGGCTTTGTAGTGGAGCACAGGGTGCTTAATCTCTGCTTTATTAGCAGCTGTCAACCCACCGGTCTTTGCTCCACTCCTCCTGAGCCCCTTCACAAGTGTGGTCCGAACAAAACAGACTGATGGGACTGATGACGTTGTTCATCTTGTTTTCTCATGAAAAAATTTCATCAACCTCAGATATGATTATTATGTATACATGTATCTATTTATGTATTTCTAAAAACATCCTAGTAGTATAAATAAGGACTTAGTAACCTGATTTCACAAAGGCATGTCAGAATGTGTTTCTCCTGGGTTTAAACATAATTTTATCAACAATGCTAATTTTTGGTATCACATAAGTCACATTAGATTATGTTTAATTTTGTCATGAATTACTACAATTAATCAAAACTAGTAGGAGTCAGATCCAAGTCAAAACCAGCTGGAGTTATTGCCAACAAGGCAAACAATGCCCCATAATGCCATTGGTATGCTGGACTAGCCCGGGCTACTGTACGATGTGGAAAGTAATCAGTGGTGTCTCTGTCAGCATATCAGTTGGAAGCGCCTGGCTCCCTACATGTGCAGCATGGGAGTGTGCGCATGTGTGTGCGTGTGTGTGTGTGTGTGTGTGTGTGTGTGTGTGTGTTGGGGTGTGATAGTGACTATGTGTCTGTCTGTGGCTCATTGAAGCCTAAACACTCAGTAAGCCTGAGATTTACTCTCTTACATCTGCGTTCAGTTCTTTGACAGGTGATGCCATACGGTGCCAGAGTTTAGAGGATCCTGCACTCACTTAGTATCTAGCCTGGAATGTGACTCTTCACAGTGTACACAAGAGAGAGAGAGAAAAAAAGTCAGTGTTACAAATGAATCAAATGAATGGGCAATTTCAAAGGTAGTGATAAAGGCAAAGAGATTTATAATCAACTGTACAGTTCCCCTTAACTATTACATGATTGTAGCATCTTTCAGCTTATAGTTTTGGTTTTCTGGCACAACCCCTGTACACCTTTCCAGCACTACAAAAGCAACTAGCTGGTGTCTTAGAAAAGTGGAACATTTAACAGAAAAAAGATCTGCAAATTAATCAGAAGACAAATCAGTCACTAAATCATCTTTAGTTGTGTCCCTTGAGACAATCTTTACAAATTTAGAAATTGCTGTTGCTGCAAACTTGAGAATTTCTTTATGGTTTCAGCTTTCTCTTCTCTTCAGTGCACTGCTCCATCACTTGTTTTGTGTGCACCTGAGTGCAACACTATGAATGCCTACAAGGAGAGACAGTCTTTGTACAGTTTTGTAAATGTGTCAGAGCACACTATTGCCATCTACAGCAGACCCTCTGGACTATGAGAAATACTACGTAGTAAGAATTTATGGAATAGTGAGAGCAAAAGACAAAATTTAGGAAAAGGAGGCGTCCATTTACTTTGTGCGGGATGTGGATGGGTGTGTTGCGATGAAGAGCAGGGACCATATTTAGACAGCTGATTCACAGCTCAGGCATCCTCAGCTCTCCATTCTAACCTCCTCCTGCCTCCTCCTCGTGTGGAACCAGTCACAACTCTGTTCCTGCTTCTTCCCAGCTCCTCCACCCACCAGGATAATTCAGTTCACATGTTGTCAAAATAGATCTGAAATGAAATATATTTAAAGATCATGAAAAGTTATACCAAAATACAATGCGTACAATTTGGACATAACATTTTGGAGTTCATCATTTACAGTACTGTTTAAATGACAAAGAGTTCAGTCTGCAAAACCAAAGTGAGAAACATCACTGTGTATATTTTTAAGGAGTATTCAGTCTTTTGGATATAAGGAGTAATGAGAATGAGGAATTTCAGTCTTAACAGGGAGTTGGATTTATGCTATGTCTGAAATGCATGTCGTTTGCTCAGTTTGCATTGGTGACCATCTCCTACCACATCTCTCTGGTGTTGAATGGGGGTCTGCAACTCTCTGAAACTCACTTTTTGCTGTGTTTGCCCCCCGTATGTGGATACAAGAGGGAAGTGAGGTATTGTCCCAAATTTTCTTTAACAATTGTTTTTTTTTTTTACTGTTTAT